TGTCTTCTTCTTCTACTTCTTCTTCTTCGTTTATGTTTTGTTGAAGATGTTGTTGTTGTTGTTGTTCCTCTTCTTTATCATCATTTCCTACTTGCTCTTGCTCTTGTTCTTGTTCTTGTTCTTGTTCTTGTTCTTCATCATCATCATCTCGTTCTTCACATCCTCTTAATGGGAAAAGAGAATAATTATCTCTCCCTTGAAAAGTGTGCGATAATAATATAATTGAAGCTGCCTAACCCTCCGGTTAGACCAGAGTGCTCAAACTAAACTGAATGCAAACTCTGTTGCTTGGTCACTTCGCTCTCTCGCATATAAAACAGTGTCAAACATTTTATCAAAGCCTGGCCTTGTCGGTAGACTACAAATTTTAATCTTCTCCTTCAGTCGCTATAATTATCTTCCCTCGAAATTTGCGCTCCGTGAGTCCTGACCCCCGTCGAAAAGACAGAAAGAAAAGAAGAATATAGTTGGCCCTACTTGCAAAAGAAGCCATCGGAGCACCCTGAAGACCCCACCCTTTCCTCTCCACCATCATCACCCTCAAAATGTCTCCCATGCAGAACTGAGCCTGCTCAGACCTCATATCCTTCACTTACGAAAACGAACCATGGACCCTGCTAGAAGTTGGTCTTATAGGGTAACTGGTATATTTTAAGGTACTATGTCCCTTTTGCAGCCAACCTCAAATTCTGAAGAACTTTGCAGGAATTATGAATACGTCATATAATTATGTCCTATTTGTGAAATTTAAATGTTAGCAGTGTCCTAATATTCAAATTATGCAAGAAAACCTGTTTACTTACTAGACTTCACCGTCAGGAACTAATGAGTGACTGACTGGCTTTTTCTTCTTGATAATAACATACATAAAATGAGCTGTAAAGAGTACATGAGCACTTGTCTACATCAATAACCCAATTCTTGTGATGGCCAAAATTAAACTGATTGAATCTTTTCGCAGCATAAAACGTATGACCATTCAGTACAATGGTCTGAAAATCAAGACTATTACTTATTGGCTCTATAGCTCCTAAGTCGATTTGACAACTAATAGTCGTTGTTTTCCTACTTGAAGACATTTTCAAGCCCCTCCTTTTCTAGGGAAGTTCTAAATTAGTATTATCTTTCAAATGCCGTTAGAATTTAACCTTTTCATTTGTGTTGGCCTGCAAATGGGACATAGTACCTTTAAAGGGGTAATTGTTCAGGATATTATTTATCCAAGGTTGATGATCCGGCGAAGGAGGTTGGAGGAGTCGTCCTCATAAGGTACAACTCTTTTCTTTTTTTCACGACCAATGACTGTTCCCGTCAATGCCACTGCATGTCTTCTCGGTTTTCGGCCCAGTTTTATTTTTGTTTTCTTCCAACTCTTATCATCTGATGGCGCTCTTCTCAAAAGGTTCGGAGCAAGATAAAATTTACATCACAGTCTTTGATCATAATCAAGTATTCATTTTATGGCGTTATTACCCAGGCGCGGATTCAGGGGGAGGGGGGGGGGGGGGGGGGGACGAGCGGGCCTTGGCCCCCCCCCACCTGCGGGGTCCAACAAAAAAAAATAATTAGTATTCACTATGCACCCCCCTCCCCCACTGAGCGAGATATCGGCCAACACGATTTTCAGATTTTCGAGGTAAAAAACTAAAACTAAAAAATAAGTAGCGCTCACTACCCCCCCCCCCCACCTGCCCCCCCCTCCAACCAATAAAATCTCTAAAAAGATTAGTGTATACATTGTATGTCATAGTTTTTATGTGCTTGCTGTGGTACAAGAGATAAAAGGGACTTTTACTGATTTGCACGTCGACATAGTGAACTGCTACGTGTGACGTCTTTGTAAGGCACTGCAATTGGCTTTAAAAGTACGCCACGCGTAGCAGTCCACTATGTCGACGAGCAAATCTGAGAGTCCCTATTGTACAGACACGTAGCCACGGGGGGGGGGGGCACGTGCCCCCCCTAAAATTTCCAAGATCGGTTGAACTTTTTTAGACCCCTTTTTTACCTCGATCGATTACATGTATGTGCCCCCCCCCAAAAAAAAAAAAAAAAAAAACAACAAAAAAACATCGAACTCTGGCTACGTGCCTGCTATTGAAGCATGTTTGTAGTTGTCTAACCTTTCGTTTAACAGACTCCGAGACATGTGCTAGTTGGGGGGGCTAGTTCTTTTCCCTGTATTATACTCGTTCCTTTTGAGCGGGACCCGATTGGAGTAAAATGGTGCAATATAGAACCAAAATGAACAGAATATGTTATTCTATATAGGATCTAGTGGTAAGCCATGTTCAGAAGTTAATTGTGGATTAGATTTATCAATGCCCAATCGATCTACTATACGGGGGGGGGGGGGTCAAGGAGTCGGAGAAGAAAAAAATCATTTTCCAGACCTCGATGATATACATGTACGCTCAAGGGTGTCGATTTGTATCCGTGCTTGGGGGGGGGGGGATGATAGGTGTCAAAATATTTTCGGCAATGGATCAAAGCAACCAAGAGGTAGAAGCGTGTGGCAGGTTGCACCCTTCCCCAAGCGTGTAGCCAGGATTTAATTTTAGGGGGTGGTAGTAAGCAAGCGAAGCGCGATCCCTAGGGGGTTGGAATAGGGAGGGGGAGTCCCCCCCCCTCCCCCGCGAAGCGCAGAAGCTTTGACGTTTCATTAAATTATTAGAGCAAGAAGACGATTCGTTGGACCGTTCTCGACTCTTTATCCTTATTTGAATCAAGTTCCCCTTCCTCCGCGCGTAGCGCGGAAGCTCTGGCGTTTCATTCGATGATTAAAGAAAGAAGGCGATTCGATGTACCATTCTCGACTCTTAATCCTTAATGTTTGAATCAAGTCCCCCTTCCTCCGCGCGTACCTCGGAAGCTCTGACGTTACATTAGATTATTAAAGAAAGACGACGATTCGATGTACCATTCTCGACTCTTAATCTTAATGTTTGAATCAAGTCCCCCTTCCTCTGCGCGTACCGCGGAAGCTTTGACTTTTCATTAAATTATAGAGAAAGAAGACGATTCGTTGTATCGTGTCCTTGTCTGAGTTCAATTTGCCCCCGCCCTCCCGCGCGAAGCGCGGATGCTTTGACGTTTTAATGAATTATTACTCTTAATCCTTCTGTATTCATTTTCGCCTATCCAGCGCCAAGCGCAGAAGCTTTACCGTTTCATTAAATTATTAGAAAGAGAAGATGATACTTTGTATCGTGTACTTTGACGTTTCATTTAATTATACCTCTTAATCCTAGTCTGAATTCAGTTGCCCCCCTCCCGCGCAAAGCGCGGAAGCTTTACCGTTTCATTAAATTATTAGAAAGTCAAGATGATACGTTGTATCGTGTACTTTGACGTTTCATTTAATTATAACTCTTAATCCTAGTCTGAATTCAGTTGCCCCCCTCCCGCGCAAAGCGCGGAAGCTTTGCCGTTTCACTTAATTATTAGAGAAAGAAGACGATTCGTTGTACTCTTCTCTATATTAATTGATTGATTGATTGATTTTTATTCGACAAGCTTCCAACATACAACAATATACAATAATAACAGATCAAAAAAAGTCAGCTTGAACAGGATAACCCACGAAAGCTCGAGAGCTTATTTCCAGTGGGGTCCCTTAAATTTCCAGTGGGGTCCCTTAATTAATCCTAATGCATGCACAGCCCAAGTGATGGGTAGCATGTTATCTCCCGGCAGTGCTTGTCGCAATAGCTTCTGGAAATGAATTGTATACTACTGTTAGTGTTAACGGCCACTAATTAGGCCCGTTAGTGACTATACAAAATATATGCTTTTCCTGGCTATTTGGGATTGTGTCAGTTTCCAACAGAAATGGAGAAAACGCGAATTTTGTTGAAAATAATGTGATATTACGAACATTTATAAATCACTTGTATGAAATTGAAAATAAGTCATGGTTGGATTTTATTGGGGGATTGAACAGTACGCGAGTGACATAGGCCTACATCAGCTTTTCAATTATCAGCTTTTCAATTATAACAAAAATAAGTTGTGACATAATAATCTTTCTCCAAAAATGAAAAATGTTTTAGGAAATATCAGGAAATAAAATGAGTGAAAAAAAATAAAAATAAAGATACAATGACGTGAATTTTAAAAAGGGTGAACGGAAACAACATAACAACTAGTGAACTATCTTATAAGTCATACTAATGTCCGAAAATCTTTCTCCTTGTCTCCGATCTCATCACGGATTCGTGACAGAGTTTATCTATGTTTACACTGTCCAGGATTGTCTGATGTTGCAGATTGCTACTTTTGCGCTTCGCGCTTGTAACATTTAGCTCGTTGCTTTTTAACGCTGCGTCTTTGCATTTGGCGCACTGCATTTCTATGATGCTGTTGATTGAACAAATTGAATAAATTCATCAATCCTGATGAAGCCGTATGATCGAGAATTCAATTTATCCTTGTCTCATATACGGTTGCCTCATTTACTTCGTATAATTGTAATACGTAGAGAGTCTATTATGAAAATGAGATAGCAAAATGTGTATATTGATGGTCAATTGCGAGTAATAACCATTAACTACTCTCATCGGGCTCTCATCATTAATTTTTCACTTATTTTTTTTTTTTTTTGAGGGTGAATTATTGGGGGGGGGGGGATGATTGTACAGGCCATCCCCCCCACCTGAAATGTTGGGGGGATATATCCCTCCATCCGCCCCCCCCCCCCCCCCCCTCCGTGATCGACACCCATGTGTACGCTATCGAACTTGAAAGCTATAGGCCTACCCCATACGATTTCGATGATGATGATGATGATGATGATGATGATGATGGTGGCGATGATGATATTGATAATGATGTTGATAAAGATGATGATATCATGCTAGCCCCCACCCCATTTTTCCTGGTAGGGGAAAGTCCCATCCGAATTTACCAAAATCCTGATGCATAATTATGCAGGCAGTGCATCCGAGGCGCGCGCGGTCGGGTGGCGCGCGGCGCGTTCGTTCGTACGTATATCACTATCACATGAACACTGACACTGCATCGCTCGGGAACTCGTCTGTGATACTCCACTAAAACCTTCCCAAATCCACCATGGCTGAACCAGTGTAAGTCTTCATTTTTATTAATTTCAAGAAGTATAACATAAATTGGGTCGTTTATCACAATGTGACGGAGAATTAACGTATAACGAATCATTTTTCGCTGTGAACATGATGATTGTGTTACCCGAGGCCGAGTCGCAGTCGCCGCGCCGACGCATGTCCATGGGTGCCCATCCCACCCTTGGAATCCCCAGGCCAGTGGATCCGGCTGGCAGAATGCCGCAGCTCTGTTGATGCGGCGATTTTGTCCCTCACGCATGGATACGTCCATTCAATTTTCAGACACTCAACAATAGTACTTTTATACTGTACATTTAGATCTAGACTAGTCACTGTGACTATGCAAGTTTATTTAGCCAACACCTATTTCAGATGTTAACTGTTTATCATGAAAACTGCTTACATGTAGTTATCCCTCATTGCATTCTTACTTAGATAATGACCAGCTCAAATAAATAGTGCCTAGATTAGAAATAGAATCTTGATCTAACTTAGATCTACAACTTACAAACTTGTACAATCATAAAAATTGCTGAGTAATGCCAACCACAGCCAAAGGGCATAGCATTAGCAATAAACGAGTTGTTATCACAACTTTGATTGCAAACTTTCACATGAATTGTATCATAATGTGAATGAAGATGTAATTTTAGACACATTTCTGCAAGGATTTTAGAAAAACAGATGTGTTTGAAGATGAATGTGATGAAAGAATACCTCATTTAGGTTTTCTGCGTACAACGTTGTGCATGCCTCCGTTGATCGTTGATTGTGTGTGTTTGTACTTTATTATCTGACAGTAATCACAATAATTTATCACGATCTTCTAGCGATTTCAAGAGTGGATCATTACAAAAGTCATAAAATTATTGTTAAATAAAACCTTTCCCTGTATTTTATTGTATACAATATTTGATTTTGAACAGGGACCACCTTGTTTAAACAGAACTGTTTCTGTGTCGCGTGCCCATTCAGATGAGAAATTAAAGCACCCTCCATGCTAAGCTGGTGACAGCCCTTGCCTTTTCAAATCTTTGGGTGATCTATGCAGGATGTGTTTATGGGAGGAGGACGTACATTTGTTCATATACAATTGTACATTTGGTGATTAAAGAATATAAACATATAGAAATGTATACAGAGTATTCTGGACTATAGACCCTTACACGTATGCCCAACGATCATAAACTACTTTTCTGTTCGTATCTTGACTACATCTATTTCTGGAACAGTGTAATTGCTGAGAAACTAGATTTCCCTAATTCTGCTTTTGAGAACATTACTTCCTTGTTTTTGTTAGGCCAGTATTGGGAGGAGGGTGAGAATTGAGAAATCTCAAATCTGCTTTCGTTTTGGATTTATACGTGTACAATGGCCCTGACTACTGGCCTGTGAAACTTACAGGAAATAGTGATCTACATTTCCTAACAATAGGATCTATAGATACAGGTCACAAATGCTCAAGTACTGCACTGTAATATTTAGTTGTGGTGCAATTTATGCAAATGAGTTGAAAAGCGTGTTTATTGTCCAAGGCTTAGTTTGGATATGGGGAGTGTTGCACTGTTAGCTGAGCTGTACTGGTACTGAATTAGAGTTTCATTCTTTTCATAATTCACTGTTAAAGGCTAGGGTGCACAGTCACACCCCCAATTCATTCTTAAATGGCAGTGCATGACTTCTATTAGTATAATTATTATTTTCATTCATAGTCTACTGTACAAATGCATAATTGAAATCTTTTCAGTTTATTCCTCTTTTTCCCTCTTCAAAAATTCTTTTCTGTTTACTTTTCACCAGTCTTCATAGTTCATTCATGCTAAATGGAAGAATCTTATCAAGTGTTTTTAAAATACTATACTTGCATTTATCCCTAACTCATTGCTCATAGGAGCTGGGTGTTCTTGTATTATGCCCCATGGGAACCAGAGAATTCAGTAGTCCAAGGGTTAATGTCCTATACATGTAGTTTAACCAAGTATACCAACTCATCATCATCATCAGAAGGAGTTGGTGCATGTAGTGTTTTACCTACTAATTGCTGCAAAATCACTTTTGTTAAGATGTGAAATGGCAAACCATACATACATTTGTTGACTAATTAGCAATCTCAAAACAGTTTCAAAGTGAAAATGGTCCTTTTCCATTTCATCCCATTTCTTGCTGGAGAGTCAAACCAGGAAGTTAAAGCCTTATTCTCTGTAATCGCTGCCTGTATCCTGTTTCAAAGTCCCATTCCCCAAATTTTAGCTACTGTTTTGTTGTGGTTTCCTTTGTGAAAATAGTTTGATGGATATTTGCATCCATTTGTTTGGTATTAAATCATTCAGGAAATAAAGTGTGCAACAACTGTTTGCTTCGGCAAGAAGGGTGCTGACTCATTGTGAGATGATCTCGGCCCATTGCAATTAGTTTCAAGTACATGTAGGGGCCACAATAGGCCATTTTCATAATGCAACCAAATGTAAATGTAATGCATACTGTAACTCTCAGTGTATAAGGCGCACCTGTGTATAAGGCGCACCCCTATTTTAGGGGCAAAAAAAGAAAGAAAAGAAAACCCACGCGGGGGAAGGACTTTCATTTAACATCGAGGTGCAGTTGAAGGCATCGATTTGTGCTTATGAACTTGTCACAAATGATAGTAACAATGTCGTTTTTAGAAGAGGTGTATAAGATCATTAATGTAAATTAAAAACAGTAGAGTACCTAGGATAGAACCTTGTGGTACGCCATGTGTAATGTAATTGAAGACAAATTTGAGGAATTATTATTATAAACTACATATTGAGATCTATTAGAAAGATTACTTTCAAACCAAGATGACAGACAAATTTGAGTGTTGTTGTACATGTAGTTCCCGAGTGGTGAGTCAACACACAGATTACTGAGCTTTTTTTTTTTTTTTTTTTTTTTTTGTATCTGTGTATAAGATGCACCCCTGACTTGCAATTTTTTTTCAGCGGCAAAAAAGTGCGCCTTATACACAGAGATTTACAAGGTAAGTCTTTGTGAAGTGCCTCAATACAAATTATTCCATTCACCTGATAAGAATATAATAGTATTTCAGTAGACAGAATGTGAACCACATACATTAATTGTTGCCAGGTAAGACAAACATTATGGCTTGACCAACCTAGCAAACACTTAATATATGTAGTTTGCATTGTTACTATTGAAATACTATTATTCTTATCAGGTGAATGAAATAATTTGTATTGGGGCACTTCACAAAGACTTATACATTAAATTTGGTTTCATTACGAAAATGGCCTATTACCCAGTCCCAGACTCATGCCAACATGACCTGGTTGACATGATGTAAATTAGCAGCTTAACAAACTTACCAGGTAGAACTTTATGGGAACAAACATTGCTTTGGGATTGTAAGATGAATATATATCAGGTCCCTCTACACAGTCAAATAAAATGTCAATTTTCAACCTTATCACTAAAGAGTTTTATACAGCAATTGAGAAAAGTGAAAAGGGAGTCACATTTACCCCAGTCTTACCTACATGTTAGGTATAATGGAAATATTGTCTGAGGAATGAAGAGGAACAAAGTGCTTTGCATAGATGTACATGTACATATACAGTTGTACAAATTTAGAATGGCTTACCGTATACCGACATGTTTCGAATCCCCTCACATAATAATATGATTAGAACTTGCATCAGCTGTATTAACTTAGAGTAAGAAGGGTACAGGCTGTACGTCCAGTGTGTGTTAATGGAGACTGTAATCTAATTTCTAGAGGGCATTCTTGCAATTTCAAAGTCACCATGAATTTCAGACTCGAGTGAACAGCCACCTTACTACCCACCGGTACATTGATTTGTACACATACTGTACAACTGGTAATATCTAATACAGGTTGCAAGTTTAATGTATGATTTAATAACTGGGCTATCAATTAAGTACATTGTAAAAATAGTTAAACTTATTCATTTTTAAAATGCCCAGTGAGAGAATGTGACTTTTCATTTTTGATTAGGTCTGATTTTCCTCAGTAATAATTGCCAGGATATTAAATTTTATACCAAATGCTGGACTACATGATCTTTTTTTATGAAGAAGACTATATGGAACGGGTGGCAACAATTTGTTAAATGTTGTGAAATAAATTCAAATGCTAAAGTGGAAGCGCTCTGTACACCTCAGGCTTGAGACTTTTGATTTATAATAAAGATAACATTCACACTTACTGGAATACAAATAGTGAGCACTATCAATGGATGATTATGTGTGGACTGCATCACCCCCACATTGCCATAGCAACCCCTTTATCATCCTCTCCTGTCCAGTAGATGTTCTGTATACATACATGTACAGTGTACATGTTCAGTATTCTACAACCTGCAAGCAAATCACAGTCATGCATCCTGCATAGCCCAGTGGCCAAGTTAGATATTGCGGCTGAAATTGAAAACGGGTTGTGATTTCTTTTTGATGGATTGCTCTGATTAAGGTAGCGCCTTCCTTTCTGAAGCCTCATTCATGCACCTTGCACGGGCAATGTACATGTAAATAAGGGCACTACTTGCAGCTGGGCATTCTGAAAGTGGTTAAAAATAAATACTATCTCTGTTTAACAATGGAGGTATCCCATTGCAAGGTGACTTTGATAAAAAAGTGTTTTATTAATGATTTAGGGTTCGTGGTATGTTTTTTGTTGAGATGACATGTTAAAGGGCTGATTGATTAAATGATATGCACCAAAAAAGAAAAAATCCATAGCAAAAGTTAATCTGGATACATACACACAATTCAATTATTGATTGCATAAATATACGTGTATATTACACTGTTTGTCTGGAAAATTTGTAATTTTACTAAGTTGTGCTGTATGATACCAGTGTGTGATTTCTGTCAACCAAAGATATCTTAATCCAATGGAATCATTGATTTACTGATATTCATAAGCAAATTTATTTTCATAGAACAATTTTTTGATGATTATCATACAACCATCATGAATTCAGCTGAGGAATATTACCAGTTAATCCTTAACTCTCATGTACATGTTGAGATTGGCTTTAGATATATTGTCTCTAGGCAAATGATGCTTGGTGAACTTTAAACCCTCAGCATGAGAACCAACAAATCTTTTGAAATCAAATTATGAAATCAATTACAATGTGGAGTCAAATATTTGTTTTCTAGTTAATTTGTATTTAATTGAGATATACGTCATGTTTTTTGTTTTTTTCCTTCTCTTCAGTGAAAAAAATACATGGGGGCTCGGGACGAAGTAGCTCCCGAAATGCCAAAAAGAGCCGCCGAAAGTCATAAAAGAGCCCCCAAAAATTTGCATTGAGTTCAATGCAAAACAAATTAAAGAGTGGTATTTTCATGCAAGCAAGCTTGAAAAGTAGCCCCCCAATTTTTTCAGTATTTTTCCCCTGCTTCTCTTATCAATCATTGTTATTTTTCTCCTTCTCTTTTCCAGTGCTGATATTGCCCTTATTGGGTTGGCCGTTATGGTGAGTGGTTTAGATAAAGTTGATAAATTAAATTAATTTTTTTTAAATTAAATTAGTTAATGAATTACCCTTGTGTTAACATTTATTTTAATTACATGCAGGACAGAACTCCTGCTTCTATCACAGAAGTGCAAGTTTTTTGGTTTGTCTAAAGAATTTGTATTCAGAGCTCTAGAAAATATCCCAGATGCATGATCAAAGAAAGAGCAAATAATTATACTGTATATGCTTTACCCAATTTTATTAATAGAGCATCTCAGAATAACAGAAATAAATGTTTCAAATCCCTGCGAAGAATTCGCTACTAAAATCATACAGTGTAATGTACCATTCTTATGGTAGGTCTACTTATAATGTTATATAACACACATCCCTGTGTGATCTCTGAGTCTTAAAATGACATCAATAAATTTTGAATTATTTTTTCATTAAAAAATACCGGTAATAGAAAATCACGCTTCAGGTTCTTTAATAGTGCATTTAATCTTTTAAACTTCTGGTTAAAGACATACCGGTACATGTACTTGCATGTGATTATGAATTTAATCTATTTTCTGTATTCTCAAATTTCTAGGGCCAAAACCTCATCCTGAACATGAACGATCATGGCTTTGTGGTAAGTTGAAATAAATCTGGTGATTAGAATTTCATGGTGACTTTTCATGCGTTACAGTTTATAAACTTATTTTCTTTTTGCCATGTTTATATTGCTACATCGTAAAATGTGATGTTTGATCACTGCTATATGATTACGAAAGTATTTGTGCCCATATTAGATGCTAAGATGTTGTTTAATTTAGTACGATAGACATGTAATATACATGTAGACGTTGTTGCTTCATATGTTAAATATTATTTTATGGGGAAACAAATTACCAAAATATATATTATCTCTTTTTTCTTTTTCTTTTATTTACTCTATGAATAACTGGGTTCCATTATTTAGGTTAGAAATGAATTTGAAATCTTATTAGATATATATTCATATGCTATTTTGAACATTACAATGGCCCCAAACCATGACAACCTGAAATCATGCCTGACTGCAAGATGGCTAACTGTACAATCGATTGATAGTACATGGCCATAATGGACTTCCTGGAAACTGATAAAATGATATGTTTTTCTAGGAGAAATTTTAGATGATTACCTAAATATTTAACTTCTTCTAAATAACCATATTTTTGTTGTACACTTATAAATGAGTGTGTCCAAAGACCCCTAGAGATACATGTATGCAAGGAACAGTATCTATTACAAGTTGACAAATTATTTGTAGAGGTGTCGTGGTCGAGTGGATAAGTCACCGGAGTGTAGATCACAAGGTCCGCGGTTCGAGTCCCGCCGCGGCACTAATGTCCTTTGGCAAGATATTAATCTACATTTGCCACACTCAACCCAGGTGAGGTAAATGGGTGCGCTGATTATGGCTGCCGAAGCTAAAGCTGGGCTAATAATATCCAAAGCTCTTTGGAAGCGCATAGAGATGTTATTTCATAACGTATTATGCGTTATACAAGAACTGAATATTATTATTAGTACCGGTATTCTCTTTCATCTGTTGTATGTAGGTATGTGCTTACAACCGTACTGTAGAGAAGGTTGACCGTTTCCTGGAGAATGAGGCCAAGGGGACCAAGGTGGTCGGAGCTAAGTCCCTGGAAGAGATGGTCAGCAAACTCAAGAAACCTCGTCGTGTCATGATGCTGGTCAAGGCGGTAGCGCTGTGGACGCCTTCATCGACAAACTGGTAAGGCTAATCATTCTAGTTTTAGTAGTTTTATGACTGAGTTGTTACTACAGTACTTCTATTACTACGTCGATACTTGACAGGATCCATAAGTCAGGATATGACGCCAAGGTTACTGGGGTGTGCAGGTGGACCACTACACCAGGGTTTCCCCCTACTTTTATACGAATAGTGCAGTGGGTTCTTATCGGCGGTGACTCTCCAGTACCTGGGGCCTCCATTTAACGTCCTATCCGAGGATTGGAGTGTCTATGAAAAAAGGGGAGGGGCACCTTAAAGGTACTATGTCCCTTTTGCAGCCAACCTCAAATGCTGTAGAACTTTGCAGGAATTATGAATATATCATGTATGTCCTATATGTGAAATTTAAACGTTAGCAGTGTCCTCATATTCAAATTATGCAAGGAAAACCGTTTACTTGCTAGACTTCACTGTCAGACACTATTGAGTGACTGACTGGCTTTTTTTCTTCTTTGGTAATAACATACATGAAAAGAGTTGTAAAGGGTACATGAGTATTTGTCTACATCAATAACCCACTTCTTGTGATGGCCAAAATTAAACTGATTGAATCTTTGCGCAGCATAAAACGTATGACCATTCGGTACAATTGTCTGAAAATCAAGACTATTACTTTTGGGCTCTATAGCCCTAAGTCGATTTGACAACTAATATTCATTATTTTCCCACTTGAAGACATTTTCAAGCCCCACCTTTTTTAGGGAAGTTCTAAATTAGTATTATCTTTCAAATGCAGTTGGAATTTAACTTTTTCATTTTTTTGACCTGCAAATGGGACATAGTCCCTTTAACACACAACGCAGGCTTCAGTGCAGTTGTTATTAGTTTACTTGACTGAGAAGAGGTACAGTACGTGCTTTTGTATAATTTATAAGGGGGGGGGGGGCTGTAGCTTGAAACATCATATACACAAAGTTTGAAGATGGTGATCCAACATTTGCTCTGGCAATAATTGCTCCACGCTTTTTTTTTGAGAAAAAATACAGGGCTTAGGGTTGAGGTTAGGGTTGCCATTTGGTTGTACTTTGTAAAGTGTTGTAAGGTTGAAATTAGAAAGTTAGTTACTGTAGACTGTAGAAAATTCACCAGAGAGCAATTGTCGCTGAAGCGCCTGTTTTACAACCTTGTACATGTAGACACAATAGAAAAGTGAGTGTTGACAGTTGAGCAAATAATCACAATTAAGTCTAAAATTATAGTTTTGAGCAAAATGCCTGAGTAAACCCTTGAAGAGCATTACATGCCGATGCGCTACATGTATTACTGTATGCTGTCTATAGCATAACCTATTTACAAATAATACATGTAGGCCATTAAATGTACTTTACAAAGAACAGTGGGGGGAGGGGCATGGAGAAATTGTATCACATTCACTGTAATCACTACTGTTCCCATCCTACCATACCCATCCACCCGGTCTTCTGTAAAACATTGTTCACACATAATGTAACTTGATGAACACCACCTAGAAATCCTCCATGTACAACTTACATGTGCATGTTTATAGGGAGCTTTGTTGCATCCAGATATTTTCTTTCTTTTCACTCTACTTGCCGTTCTTGTATAAAAAATAGTCTCAACAATTTTACAGTGTACATCCTTATGTGTGAATGATACCTAAAGAGAAAAAAAATATATAAATATTATCATGCCACAATTTCCAATTCATTATGGTTTTGTTGACATTGTCTGTCAATGTCAGATGTCTCTTCAAAGTTCAGACTTTCTTTTATTGTTGTTTTTACTCCGAGAGTGTTGTCCATGCTATCATGGGCAAGGTCATCATATCACGACCTAGCTTCACAGAATGATTTCTTTGTTAAAAATCACTGGCTTGTGTTTGTGGCAACACAAACTATATTAAATAGGATGATAACTGGGAACAAGTCAAATTTTAGAATAAACAGTGCTCAAGGATGCACAACCCTGGGTAACTGCGTAACTACATGTACAATGTACATGTAGATGTGGCACAAGTGATATGGAATATATTTGAATGTACATAGATATGGTCATACATGTACTTGTAGATGATATGTATAGATTCATGTAAATCCCTTTGGCCTGGGAAATTGTTAAAGGTAAAGACCAGTTCTGGAAACGCACCCCTCCCGAAAAATGAAATGGAAGCTTTTATTACCAATCATGTGAAAGAATATCTGTTTTGACTAATACTTAATGATACAAATTTTGCAGAGAAACAGCCCACTAATTGATATATTTGGCAAAATATTATATCTATTTGGACCTGATAGATATAACGCATGTGTCGCGCAGGTGTCGCGTAGTCCCATATACATGTACATCTTTCTGTGTATAGTGCTTGTAACTTTACCAAGACTGGGCCAAATTTCTTATCATTTTGATGATTCCAGAACCTTGCAGTACACACCAATACTTATGCTAGATGATCAACCTTTTCTGATCAATTCCACAACCGCATGACCATAACTGGTCTTTATCTTTAAAGTATGATCAGTTTGGTTTCCTTCGTATCAGCATGCTACATGTAAATGTATGCTTGTACATGTTCACAGAATTTTGTGAAATGTGCCTGTACCAGCAGCTTAAATTCAATATACCGGTATGCTAACTTTGTAAATTGTACACCATTTCAATTTTAGTCATTCAAAAATGGTGAAACTCAATCGGACTGAGTTCTTTATGTTGTGTAGCATTGGACATGATTAGTCTTTACACAGAATATTTGCTCAATAGCTTTGTGCAAATACTTAGACTTCATCTTATTTACATGCAGTCTAGTCTAATTTAAATTGCTTCATGTGCCGTTTGTAGATCTTTTATTTGCATTTGAATAGAGGTCAATGTCCGTAAGAGTTGCTTTGTCATTTCTTCACCTGGTTCACACGTTTATCGGTGATTATATTATTGCTGAGTCATGTAATTCACGATATTTTACTTCCTGGACATACATGTACAGTTACATGTACATCCCTCCCTTTGAATGTCATATTAATTTCTAGCTGCCAAAATTTGAGCATAATCGGACCATATATTTTGTGGACTTGAAAAGATGTTTTTCTTGAGTTTCTTCTTACAATTTGATTCAAAATGAGGTTCAATATATTGAAGTTTGATACAGAAAAAATGAACTTTGACAAACTCTGTTGCCTGTTACAGCAAACCGTACAAAAAACAGGTGGATTTTGATTAACCTAAGAGTAATCCTAATGATGATTTCTTTTCATGTCCATTATGACAACGCTTTAAAAAAAACCCTAGCCTCATTAAAATGCAATCTAGTCTTTTAAAGTTATATCATATACTCTGTATATATCTTTTATTTGCATGTAGAGAGAGGTCAATGTCCTTAAGAGTTGCATTGTCATTAACATGCTTCATACATTAATCAGTGATTTTATTATTGCTGTGTCATTCCCAATATATTTCTCGACTTCCTTGTGGACTTGTGGACTTGAAAGAAAAAGAAAAAAAAAAATCTTTCCCCCCCCCTTCTTCTTTCAATGGTTAATTAAAAATGAAGCTTACTATTGTGAAGTTTGATAGAGATACAATATAAATTTGAAACTGTGTTGCCTAAGGAGATTGCGAACCATGAATGAAAAACAGGTGGATTTTGATTAACCTAAGAAAAAATGGGTGGATTTTTTATTAACCAAGTAAAGAATAATAATCCTCGTGACAAATCCTTTTCATGTCTCTTGTAACAATCTTTAAAATAAATACAACGTCACTCATCTCACGTGTACATGTGCAAAATGGATGAGGATTTTCATGCTTAAAGTTGGCAACTTTTTATTCACCCAGAATATAATCTCAAGTCATGAAATTTATTTTGTATACCCTATATCTCATCTGGTGATGATAAAAAGATTTTGTGTATACACTCTATTGTTTCTTGGTATATTTCACCAAATAGAATTATGAAATCCATTTTAATACAGACGGTGCAATGTTAGTTATAATTGTTTCAATGTGTTTTGATTTTTATAAAATTGTGTGTTTATTTCTTTTTAGGTTCCTCTCATGGAGAAAGGTGATATCATCATTGACGGTGGAAACTCTGAGTTTCAAGACAGTCAGGTACGTTTCGGATTTTACCCCATTGACTACATACTCAATGTTCTCATCCTCATAGGCTATATACAGTCAAACCTGTCTATAGTGACCGCCCAAGGGAAACACTAAACGTGGCCTTTGTAGACGGGTTTCTTCAGTACATGATTCAATGAGAAACCATTCAATGAGAAACCAATTAAGGGAAACAACAAATGTGGCCTTTGAAGACAGGTGGTCTTTGTAGACATGTGGTCACTAAAGCAGGTTTGACTGTATAGGTGCCACTTGATTCCATGTAGGCAATGGATGTAAGAGAGGTTCTTATGATGGTAGTATCAAAGTGCTTGGAACTATTGCCATTTTTCCTCTTTTCACACACATACCAAGGACTTTGTTTACTAAATTACTTTTCTTTCCCCTCCCTATCTATGCCTGCAATAGATACTCATCATCCTTGTGCTTGTGATTGACCCTTATTGGTGATAAGCTCAGATTAAATGTATGAATTGTGCTAAAATATTTTATAATTCTAAATAATTGACAAAAGATTTTCTCGATCCAATTCATGTTTGCTGGTTCCATTAAACCTGAAGTGAGGACTAAAGTCATGTTAGACAAGGTGAAAACTTCAAACCCTCAAGCATTGTCAGGTTTAAACTTCTAATCAGGGAGCCGTTTCACAAAGCCCTTTTTCCATAACAAATGACGAAAATCAGTGACAAATCTGCTGATAACCAATCAGAAGCAAGGATTTCACTAGTTTATAACAAAAAACTGTCATTTGTCACTGATGACAAGTTTTGTGAAATGGGGCCCTGGTAACTCTTTGTAGACCTTTCTGTCAGTAATTTTGATGGTGATATTACTTTTTTTTAAAACTTCTTCCAGAGGAGGGTGAAGGCTTTGGAAGAGAAGGGCTTGCTCTTTGTCGGTAGTGGTGTTAGCGGGGGTGAGGATGGTGCCCGCTATGGCCCCTCCCTCATGCCAGGGGGTTCCCCTAAGGCGTGGCCTTTCATCAAGGATATCTTCCAGGGAATCTCAGCCAAAGTTGGGTCTGAGCCTTGCTGTGATTGGGTAAGTACAGGGTGCTGATTGTCGGTAGTGACTTTAGTGCTTTACAGGAAAAGACCAGAAGTATGCTTTCTGGGAAGTGGGAGATGATAAGTTTCTTTAAAGCCTGTCTGTCCTAGTTTGGCCAGGATGGATTAGACCACCCAGTGTGGTCACTGACAGATGGTTATCTCATCAACTCAGCTCTCAATTAACATAGGGGACCAACAGGCACCTAAGCCATGTTTTCTATATAGAGGGAGCAAGTAGCTACAAGTAGTGAAGTAGGGCTTTAATTTGCATAAACAGAGTCAAGAATGTTTTGGATGATATCAGGGGGTGGGGGGGGGGGGGGGGTCCTTGATACATAGGATAGGGAGAGATGAGAATTGTGATCTTGTATACCGGTAATGCAGCCCTGTCAAAGTACTTATATTGATGTACAGGGAGGGGGGTCGGGTCGGGAATCTTTCTTATTCTCTACTACACTTATAGACAGTTCATGTTTCTTTAGATATGATTATTTTGAATAATGTTTGTTTCTATCCTTTAGGTCGGTGAGGATGGAGCAGGTCACTTTGTGAAGATGGTGCACAACGGTATCGAGTACGGTGACATGCAGCTGATCTGTGAGGCCTATAACCTCATGAAGGACGTGCTCGGCATGACATGTGATGAAATGAGTCAGGTGAGAATTGTTCTTTAGATCTCTCTTGCTCTTACTCTCTCCTTTCTCTTTAATTTCCTTTCTCTCATGCTCCCCCTCTCTCTCCCTCTCTCTCTCCATCTCTCTTTCTCCATCTCTCCTACCTTTTCTCTTCTATTTTATAGTTTCATTTGTGTTTCAATTTTATTTTCAATATATTTTTTGTCTTCAAATTTAATCTCTGTAACTGTTTCTTTTAGCTTGTTTGGACCTCTTTCGGCCAATCTTTATCTCTCCCCTCTCTCTCTCTTTCCTTTTTTCTCTCTGCCCCCACTCTTTGCCTTCTTTCATTTCTCTCTATCTCTCTTTTCATTCTAATTCTACTTCCTCTTTTGTTTTTAATCTGCTGTTATTTTTTATCGTACTTCTCTGCATTTATTGAATTATTTCAGTTTGGACATATATTCTAATTTTCATCATAAGCCTTGTTTAGACATGCCGTGGTAAAACGCTGCGGTTTTTGCTATGTTGACGTAAAATTCAATACGTTTCACATATCTGCATCTTTAATACGACACAGAGCTAAGTGAATATGCACAGGACTTTTTTCACACATACTCCAGAAAGAAAGATTACAATGAGTCCTTTTCAGGACTCCCCAATCCTCCCCCTCTCTTACATGGTGCAACAGCAAGCCTACTGTACTGTATAGCAATTTTGTTGTGCGCAGTTGCCAATAATTTACACATAATACAACCGCAGCAGTTTGTTTTTGGGGCAGTTACTGTTTACCGCAACATAATAATTATAATAATACATAAGATTTATAAGGGGCCAAATCCACTTGATAATCAAATGCTCAAGGTGCAGCTGGTGCAAAAGATGAAATACATGATAAATTTATACAAAAGTGACATATCTGAACATACTTTTATTCTTTGTCCTTACCAGGTGTTTGTTGAGTGGAACAAGGGAGAGCTTGATTCCTTCCTGATTGAGATCACCAAGGACATCCTGGCCTTCAAGGATACAGATGGATCCCTCTTGTTGAGAAGATCAGGGATAGAGCAGGGCAGGTAGGTGACCTTTAACCTCTCACCTTTAACCTCTGACCTTCATATTAGTACTTTAACAGGATCTGTTATATGCACATATCCATCCCAGAGGATGTGCAAACGCCTCATGGCTTACCCTTACTTTGTCATTGTGATTATGTTCCAGGGCTCCGTCTTATAAAGAGTTATGTGCGATTGATTAGAATCAATTGCAAGTCCTCTAATCATTCTCAGGTTTGCAGGCTCCTATCTCTTATGTCCATAGTTGCGATTAATCACAACTGTTTATAAGACGGGGCCCTGATATTGCATTTTTATTGTGAGAAATCGTAGTCTAAATGATGAAACAAGTAAGTTTAGTTAAGATCAATTACATTTTAGTTCTCCTCCTTGTCACTTTTTTAAAGTGGCCATATAAGGGACTACCTGAACTCGGTTTCATTTCTTCTTTTTTTTTTCTTCCTCCCTTGACCTTGTAGAAAGGCACAGGAAAGTGGACGGCTATCTCTGCCCTGGATTATGGCATGCCAGTCACGCTCATTGGTAAGTCTTAAAGAGTTGAGTTCTGGTCAGGCAATTGCATTGTGAAAGAAACGTTGTGGAGTCGATCAGAAACGGTTGATCATCTAGCATTTAAGTATTGGTGTGTACTGCAAGGTTCTGGAATCATCAAAAGGATAAGAAATTTGGCCCAGTCTTCGTGAAGTTACAAGCACTGTACACAGAAAGATATATATATGGGACTACGCACACGTGCGCGACACGTGTGTTTATCTCTCACACACCAATAGATGAACTAATTTACCAAATATATCAATTAGTAGGCGATTTCCTGGCAAAATTTTTATCATTGTGTATTAGTCAAAACATACTCTTTCACATGATTGGTAAGAAGAGCTTCCATTTAATTTTTTGAAATTGGGGCATTTCCAATACTGGTCTTTACCTTTAAAGAGTTGAGTTCTGGTCAGGCAATTGCATTGTGAAAGAAACGTGGAATCGATCAGATAAAGTTGATGATGTAGAACCTGATGTAGAAAGTTATCAGGTATTTGTTATATGATTTGTTTCAGGTGAGGCTGTGTTTGCCCGCTGTCATCCTCCTTCTTCTTAGTTTTATTATCATCATAATTTTCATCTCCCTCCTTCCCCCCTTCTTCTCCTCTTACTCCTCCTCATCTGCAAAGTAACATTCTTTTTATGCCTCCGGTACGAAGTAGCCGGAGGCATTATGTTTTCGGGTTTTCCGTCCGTACGTATGTCTGTACGTACGTACGTCCCGTTCTCGTGATCGCGTTATCTGAAGAACCGATAAATGGATTCCTGCCAAACTTTGGTCATGTATTTATCTTGCAGAGCCGATGAACTGATTAGATTTTGGGGTCACGAGGTCAAAGGTCAAAGGTCACAGGGCTCATTATGTATGCAAAAACAGCTTGTGATCGCATTATCTGAAGAACCGATTAATGGATTCCTGCCAAACCTTGGTCATGTATGTATCTTGCAGAGCTGATGAACTGATAAGATTTTGGGGTCACGAGGTCAAAGGTCACAGCGCACATTATGTATGCAAAAACAGCTTGTGATCGCGTTATCTCAAGAACCGATTGATGGATTCCTGCCAAACTTAGGTCATGTATGTTACTTGCAGAGCCGATGAACTGATAAGATTTTGGGGTCACAAGGTCAAAGGTCACAGCGCACATTATGTATGCAAAAACAGCTCGTGATCACGTTATCTCAAGAACCGATTGATGGATTCCTGCCAAACTTAGGTCATGTATGTTACTTGCAGAGCTGATGAACTGATTAGATTTTGGGGTCATGAGGTAAAGGTCAAGGTCATGCGGCTCATTATGTATGCAAAAATAACGTGTGATCGTATTATCATTAGAACAGATTGATGGATTCCTGCCAAACTTAGATCATTTATGAATCTTGCAGAGCCAATGAACTGAGTAGATTCTTGGTTCATAAGATCAAAGGTCATGGGCTCATTACATGTATGTATGCAAAAATAGCTTGTGAAAGCATTCTCATTAGAACTGACAGATGGATTACTATTTAACTCAGGACATCTTGCAGAGCCAATGAACTGAGTAGATTTTAGGGTCATTAGGTCAAAGATCAAAGGGTCATATATGTATATGGGAAATTGCTTGTAATCACGATATTCTGAGAACATGTTAATGGATTACAATTGAACTTGAATTTGAAAAATTTCTTCCGTTTTGGTTTGTAAAATTGCTCTATGAAGGAGGCATCATTTTCGACTGCGCGCAGTCGAATTCCATCTAGTTTTATTATTTCTACAAACCTCCTCATCCTTATAATCCTAATAATGATTTTAATCATCCGTATTATCATCCTCCTCCTCCTCCCCCTCCTCTTCCCTTCCTCCCCCCTCCTCTTCCCCCTCTCTCCTCCCCCTCCTCCTCCTCCCCCTCCTCCTCCTCCTCCTCCTCCCCCTCCTCCCCTCCTCCCCCTCCTCCCCCTCCTCCTCCTCCTCCTCCTCCTCCTCCTCCTCCTCCTCCTCCTCCTCCTCCTCTCCTCCTCCTCCTCCTCCTCCTCATCCTTCCCCTCCCCCTCCTCCTCCCCCTCCTCATCCTCATATCCTCCTCCTCCCCTCCTCCTCCACCTTCCCCTCCTCCTCCTCCTCATCGGCATCTTCACCACTATTTCCATACTGAATGATTTGATTTGTTTCAGGTGAGGCTGTGTTTGCCCGCTGTCTGTCATCCATCAAGGATGAGCGAGTGGAAGCCAGCAAGCAGTTGAAGGGACCTGATGCACCAGCATTCTCAGGAGATAAGAAGCAATTCATTGAAGATATCAGACAGGTATAAGAGTCCTTTATTTATTTATTTATCTATCTATGTATCTATCTTGTTATGTATGCATGTATTCATTAATTTATTTATTTGTTTTTAATTGTATATTTTTAAAATTCATTTATTTATTTGTATTCATTTATTTTCCTCTCTTTACCTTTGTGTAATACTTGAAAGATTTTCTCTATTCTCATTCACTTTTAAACATTCAATTATTCTGTCCTATTCTGTCTGACTATTTGTACAATGTTTGTACCCTAGATTAACATCTTGTTATATTTCCCTTTATCCTTCTGATTTTTGTTCTGATTTTGGTCAGACTGAGGCCGAGGCTGTCATAGATTTGGTTTATTGTATTTTCCCGCAGGCCCTGTATGCTTCAAAGATCGTATCCTATGCTCAGGGATTCATGTTGTTGAGGGAAGCAGCCAAGCAATTCAACTGGAATCTCAACTACGGAGGAATCGCTCTGATGTGGAGGGGTGGATGTATCATCCGTAGGTAAGGTCATCCATCTCACCAACAAGATAAGCCTCTTGCATAACAATAAGGGAGTTTTTAGATAGCACATGGTACAAATGACCCCAAATATCCACAGATCTTTTACACATGGAGAAGTTCCACTTTGTACACTTTGAAATAATCACTCCTACAGCGATGAAGGTGCTACATAAATTTCCTTAGTTTGTTCCCCTTTTCAAAGAATACTTCCACCTGTGTATCATGATTGGCCTTTGTTGTTCCCACCACATTATGAGTAGTACATGTTTATTTTATATCTTTGTTATATATATGTAGATTACACATGTTGATTGTACTACAGTCAAACCTGTCTATAGCGACCACCCAAGGGAAACACAAAAAGTGGCCTTTGTAGACAGGTTCCATTAGTACATGATTCAACGAGAAACCATTTTCAAGGGAAACAACAAATGTGGCCTTTGTAGACAGGTGGTCACTAAAGCAGGTCTGACTGTACTTTGTTTTTAATCAAATGTGGAAATAAATTTGAATTGAATTGAATTGAATTGAATTTAATCCTTTCTTTCTAGTGCATTCTTGGGTAACATCAAGGCAGCCTTTGAGAAGGACCCCAACCTCACCAATCTCTTACTCGATGACTTCTTCAAGAATGCTATCCATAAATGCCAGGTCAGTGACAAATATTTATAATCCTTGTACAGTGTATTGCTTACTTTTAAAGCGAAGGGCCAATGTAAAAAAGAGGGGTTTGCCTGCCGCTACCACACAAACTTAATATACAGAGATACTGGCAAAAAATTAGATGAAAAAGATATTTCCAAAAAAAAAACACCTTTTTGGCTCAAAAACTTTATTTATATTTCACATACTCAATGACTCAATGAAATTGATATTAACCTAAAAGGTATTTTTATTATTCATCTTTTGACACCTGCGTGCACTGTTGAAAAAATATGTTTTTCAAATTTATTGTGTTTTGTCTATAACCAACCAATGTTTTATATTGTTGAAGAAGAATAACCCACTGAAGAAGCAGTGAGGCAGGCATGCCCGCCAATTACTTATATTATATACATGCAGGCGCGTACGTGGGGGGGGGGGGGGGGGGGGGGGGGGGTCAAACCTCCCCCCTCAATTTTTTTTAGTGTGTGTGTGTGTTTGGAGGAACCCCCCCCTCCAATTTTTGTCTCGCCTGCGTAGCAAAAAGCGAGACATAGGCGCCGCTTTTCCGGTGACGGCGGCGTCAACATCAAAAACTTAACCTGGGGTTAAGTTTTTGAATTTTTGATATAATTAGTCAATGAAACTTTGACTACAGGGTAATCAAGTATCCCCAATTATGTGAGTAGAAGTTCAGATCACAAAGTCAAGGTCAAAGGTCATTTCAGGTCAACAGACTTAGACTATGTTGTAGCATCATCATCGAAAAGTTAACTTAAGGTTAAGTTTTGTGAATTTTTGATATAATTTTGAAAGTATAAGTTCTTAGTCAATGAAACTTGGACTATAGGGTTATCAAGTCTCCCCAATCATGTGAGTAGAATTTCAGGTCACTAAGTTAAGGTCAAATGTCATTTAAGGTCAACAAACTTAGACTTTGTTGTGGCATCAACATCAAGATTTTCAAAATGCTTTTTCTTCGTTATTTTTCAACCAATTTTGATTCTGATTGTTTCATATGATAGGGCTAGGAGGGGGATTTAAAACTTCTACACAGAATCGTGAAATTCATTATCTATGCTAATTTATGCAAATTTATTCGAAATCACAAAAAATGCTTCTTCTTCATTTCTCGACCGATTTTGATTTAGTTTGCTTTATCTGGTAGAGCTAACTTTGGTACACACTAAACTACTACACCAAATTTTGAAATTGTTCTCCATTAATTAATTATGGTAATTAATGCAAATTTATTCCAAAAATAATAAAAATTGCTTCTTCTCCCTCATTTCTTGACCAATTTTGATTTGGATTGCCTTATCTGGTAGAGCTAAGTTTGGAACACTAGACTTCTACACAGAATTTTGAGATTTTGCTCCATTGATTAATTATGGTAATTTATTATGGTAAAGTTATTCCAAAAATCACAAAAAATGCTTCTTCTCCTTCATATTTCGACCGATTTTGATTTGGTTTGCTTGATATTGTAGAACTAACTTTGGTACACTAAAATTCTACACAGAATTTTGAAATTGTTCTCCATTAATTAATTATGGTAATTTATGCAAATTTATTCCAAAAATAACAAAAATTGCTTCTTCTCCCTCATTTCTTGACCAATTTTGGTTTGGTTTGCCTTATCTGGTAGAGCTAAATTTGGAACACTAAACTTCTACACAGAATTTTGAGATTTTGCTCCATTGATTATTTATGGTACTTTATGCAAATGAAATGAAATTATGTCCCTTCCAGGGCATCAATTTTTTATTTTTTGACCAGATCAAAAGTGTACCACATAAAATTTACGATATTTGTTGTTGCGAGATGCGGATGAGTACTACGTCATTGACGTTCTGGTTTATCCTATTGAATTGCGTTATGCAGGCAAGACTGCCGAGAGCGTTTCCCTTGTTTTTTAATATGATGCTAACGTGTGACTAAAAAAATGTGCTCTCCCCTCCCCCCATGTATATATCTTTAAGGGATAAAGGATTTTAGTTTGATTTCACATTAAGTAAACCTTCCTGTAGTGAACAAACTTTAATAATTGTTTTATGAATCTGTTCAACTAAATTATCAATCCTAACATTGATTATCCTTGTATTCTGAATCCTTTCACCAGGCATCATGGCGAAAGGTCCTAGCTGCGGCTGTCATGCAAGGAGTCCCTACTCCAGCTTTCAGCACCGCATTGGCCTTCTACGATGGCTACCGTTCAGCTCGCCTTCCAGCCAATCTCATCCAGGTTAGTGTTTGTACCTATAAAAACGTTTTGCAGTAGCTGCATCAAAGACTTGGAACAGCATCCCTCTTTCCATAAGGGAAATTACCTGTCTTGCCACCAATCAAAAGATCCCTCAAAACTCACCCTTTTCCCCAATGATCTATGCTGTTTATTTTGAAGCTCAAAATTGAAGTATTATAAGTTGAGCATTGGCTGTTTGCTTTGAATTACTCAACATTTTGTGTATTTTATTATTTTTTTCTTCAGGCTCAGCGTGACTACTTTGGTGCACACACCTACGAGCTTCTCTCTGCACCCGGCAAGTTTGTCCACACCAACTGGACAGGCCACGGAGGAAACGTCTCCTCTTCTACTTACGACGCTTAGAGTCCTTCTTCCACTCTTATCGGCACATCTCCAACAAGCACACTGCCCTCAAGACCATAAGGGAGCATCTCCAAATAGAAGAATTTAAGTTGAAAAGGGTAGAGTGAGATGTTGTATTCCTCGTACACAGAGGAGTATAATAACAATACAAAATCTTATTCCTATAGCCCTAGGTGTTCATACACCCATGTTTTGTTGTTGTTGTGTTGTGTTTTTTTGGGGGGATAGGGTTCATATAATATGCTTATGATGTTTGTAACATGTAAGTCAGCATACAAAAATGACTTCACCTGGAAAGGAGAAAAGAGTTGTGCTTGTTGGATGTACTCTAGCTGATGTAGCTGTAATGTCGATATCATGTAAATGGTGATATATAATTTTATACTACAGAGATATTAAAAGATTAGTTGATATGTAATATTTTCACAAGATTTTGTATCAGATTGCAAAGCAAAACTTTTGTCAGAGATGACCTAGGAACGGTGCATTAATGTTGTTAGCTTTAAGTTGGTATATGCATAGCTTGGTTTAACCATAACTTATTTGATGTCTCTGATTGTTTTTTATCGTTTAGCTCACAAACTTACGGGAACAAGGTTCACTTAGAAGTAAATGTCGAAAGATTTCAATTTGTATGGCACACTATTTTTTCTCATTTTATGATATTTCTTTGAAGTAGATAGAGAGCACACTATTTAGTCAATGAGGTATTTTTGTATAAATTTGCTCCGTCTCGATGCAAATGTAGTCAGGCTTTGTATGCATTAAATGTTATGCTGACTTTAAAGATAGTTGAAAACAGCCGAGTACTTGCACAATCTAATTTAGTACTCAATGAATGTGATACATTAGGATTTGAAGTTCATTTATTCCTCTTCGCATCATACAATCAAAAATGAGTTTCATGTTTGAAATAATGTCTGTTTAATTATATGGAAATTTCTCATAATCAAATTATGTTTGGGGTGGGGCAGGAGGACTTTTTTTCCCCAGCTTTATTTCAAAATACCATTGTCATACCTTGGATATCAGTCCTTGGAAGTAGGCATAAAGTTATACAAAACTTATTTGCCCCTCGGTGTCCGCATTGTGTTTTGTGAAATTTTGGTATTTTAAAAGTGCTTTTCCTTGGTGAATAACGTGTGCATGTCAGCATTGGCATTGTAGATTAACATTCCACTGTATGATTAGACCAGGGGCCTGTTGCACAAAACTTACCATTGATGGTAACTACCATGGAAACCTTGATTTTGATTGGCTGTTGAGCCCTGTTACCATGGTAGTTGCCATTGATGGCAAAGTTACCATCAATGGTAAGTTTTATGCAACAGAGCCCACTAGAAATGTTGTAACTGATCAGGTATCAATTCTTTGAGTTATTGCTGTAATAATTTTTTTTAGAGCTGAGTAGAGAGATCTGACTAATACATGTAAGTCATGTTTGCTATATCAAATACAGGATTGGAAAATGGGATTGGTTTTAAGCAGAGAAGTGAGTTTCTGGTACAGGTAAATTGTCATTACACATGCCAGGCAAACCTACTTGTATAACGGAATGGAAAATTGGCTTTTCAACTTATACCTATGTTCATGCCAGGAATGCACAGTTCAGTTATGCAATGTATGAATCAAATATTTGTGTAAATGCCAGGAATGTATGTTGTGTTCAAGTGATCATGATGGTATGGCCACTATCGAGAGTCTGACTGAAAATTCAAGAACAAATTGACTGGTGGTTATAAAAAAGACATGTCCTCAATGATTTACGATTTGTTATGAAAAGCTTTGGGTAAACATCATAAGGAAGTACACTAAGATTTTTAGATAAAACAACTCTGGAAGTCCATTAGGACATGTCCCTTATGGGAAGCAAGGAAGACAGAAAATACATTCTGAGCATTGACGAGAACTGATATACACTGTACACTGTAGGGAATATCTCAACTTCAGTTTCAGTTCATGCTTCCTTTTCAAGTCTAAATATTTTGGTTTTGATGGCAGATTTTAGTCTGCCAACAATCAATGCTGTATCAACATTGCTCTACATATATACATGTACTTATAATAAGCCTGCAGAACACTTTGAGTGCTGTATCCTTTTCATGCTGAAAATCCTCTTTGTATTGAGGCTTAGAAAATATATGTTTCCTCTTCAATTTCTTGATAAGTATCCCAGAACTCATCTTGAAAAGCCAACTCAGATCATGGAAAAATCTATAATTTTGTCATTTTTGTCATCAGAACATCAAAATGTTAGTGTCTTTGCTGTAAGCGAAATGAACCTTGAATGTTGCTTAGGAATGTAATGAGACAATAAACTATTTCCCACTTGATTAAGCAAGTTACTAATTACTTCTTTACTTTTCTTTTTTTGAACATTCATTTAGGTTGTGTAACTAGATCAGTACTAAACATTGTATTGTCCTATGCAAATCATAGTGGATTTGAATGTGTATAATGAATTACGGACTCTGATAATTTGCTTCACAGCCAACTCTATTGTACCCATACTCACATGTACAAGAGTTTCTCTAGACCAACTTTTCTAATTGGTTCTGGTGCCGTGTATTTTGTGTAACGCTGCAAGCTTATCATGAAAAATAAAAGAGAAATTGAATCAATATGATAATCTAGAATTGATGATTTTTGTGTGTACATGTACATTTGTGTGTGAAATATCCCCCATACCTTCCTCAAACATTTGAAGTTGTATTAGATGCAAAAGCTTGACAAGTACTAAAGCTGTGGCTTCATGAAAATCTATTTTCAGAATTTCTCAATTATTTCTTCGTAAGTATTGGCTAGATAAAATAGATTTCCTATAGGGACTCGGTGTTATTTTGCTCTGATTCGTAATGTTATGAATCAGAGCAAAATAGCACCGAGTTCCTACAGGAAAACTAATCAGATGGTCATATCTCGGCCAATACTTAACATATTCAACATATTTCAGAAAATGAAGAACAAATTGAGAAATTCTAAAAATAGATTTTTGATGACGTCACACTTCGTAGAGTGGGGAAGTGTGACGTCATCAAAAATCTAGCTAGTAATGTAGTAATCTGCATGGTACCTGAAAGAAACGTATTAAAGGAATGAAATGAGTGACATGTTGATATATATATATATCCTTTCATCCAACATTGTTTTTTATTGAAAAGAGAATGTACAATTACAACATTATTTCATACTACAGATATAACAATAATCTGACAGATAGGTGGACAGAATATCATCATCAAAAATATATATAACTGTGAAAATTGAAAGGTAATGATTCTGATAATCTGACTACAATTTTTTGAGGCTACTAATCATCTTTAAAAAAACAAAAATCATTTGAGCACAGCGAGTACGTATAAAATCAACTAGAACAAACTTTCTGTGGATTCACATTCAAAGGAATACATGCATTTAGAAAATAAAGGATAGCATAAGAATCCCCCACACAGACCCTAAATCAAACTTCAAATCCATGCATGCCCCTTTCTAAGAGCGTGTATTAAAGAGAGGGCAAAGACAAAACAAAGCCAGGCATTGATTTTACCCCCCCCCCAACTGTTCAGTTGAAGATGTATTTATACATCATAATGCTAGCTATACACAGAAGTGCCTACATGTATATACATGTATCACACTTTTTACTGTTATTTGCCATTAAAATGTTCACATGATGAACACAAAATCATCAGCAAAGCTTTAAACAGTTCTGTTTTTTTGTATCATACTTCCCTTCGCTATCTTATGAAATGCACTTTTATACCATTCTGACTTAAGTATTTTGTAGCCAGTTTTCTATAAAGCGTGTTCCCAACAAGGAAAACAACAAAAATATATTAATTCAACTTTCTAAAAAAAAATCTTAAAAACAACAAAGCATGACTTCACAGTACAAATGGTTTATAAAACTTGTAAACACATATATAAAAATAAGCTGAACTGAACTATAATAACTGTGAAGGTGTTTTTCTAAATTTGATCTGACTGCTAGTACCAGTAGTATTGTTCTTTACAACTTTGATTCAAAGTATATATATTCCTTTGTAGCACTACAACCGAAGAGGATGAATTCAACGTTCGGTGCTTGACTATTGCCAAAGTATGTCTTTGTTTGTATACATGCTACTGTGCCAAGATGGGTTTTCTGCATCAAACAATTTTTAAAATCTAAACGGCATGTTCAAGGGAATGAACTTGATACAAGACAAAATAGTTGAAACATTTATCTACATGTACAAGTGCAGTATGCTATAAATCTGAAAATTGTAATATATATGACTTCTTTCATATAGAATTTGTTCATAAATCATATTTGATCAGCCAATGATTATTAAAAATAATCTGCTCTATAGGCATTTAAGTTGACACATAATTAAAATACATTTAAGAAAGGAAACATTCATAAGATAATCATACAAACGAACATATTCTAATTCAATTACTTACATGATATAACTTATAAATTATTTCATACTAAGTTCGATTGCATATTAGTATTCTAATTTTACTCTGACTCCCACAGTTAGTATATAACACATACCCCAAGTCTATAAACCCTAACAAGAATTATGAGACGTTAGTATTTCCCCTACATCTCCCAAACATTTATGACATTGAAATAAATCAAACTTCAGCCAAATTGTGCCTAAAACGACTTTAAGCTGGAAATCCATTTTAACAAAAGTAGCCAACTCGGCTGCAACAAGGCATAGGCAGTTCCCAAATTTGAAGAGGAAAAAAAAAAAACCCAGCGTGACAATTTATACCAGAGAGAGTGAAAGGGATACAGATAAACATCTGTAAATACATGTAAATAAACGATGAAATAGATAGATAGAGAGAGAGAGAGAGAGAGAGAGAGAGAAGTCTGTGATGTGGGTGCAATCATAAGAAGTACACATAACATACATGTATGGCACACAGCACCATAATTTTTTGCAAGCCTTTTCTACAATTTCATACCAATTTACAACCATTTTGAAAATTTTTACCATCTTAACATAATTTTTTAGTAGAAATTCTAACCTTCTTTTTTACTATCCTGTTTCCGATAAGTTTGTTTCATCCACTGATTTGAGGTGCATGAACCTGTTCACATAGAAATGTACTTGTATGAGAGGTAGTAAACGTCTTGAGTCATAATGGTAGGTGGATAGAAAGATTGCAAATAAGCCAATCACAGACCCTCTATGATTTTATATACAGTCAAACCTGTCTTAGGGGCCACCTCTCTACACAGGCTACCTATCTATAGTGGCCAGCTATATTGTTTCTCTCTATGAAGAAATGTGTGTTGTAGAAGCTGTCTAGAAAGGCCGCCCAGTGTCTACAGCGGCCAGTTTTTCCCCGTTTCTCTATGGCGGCCTTTGCGGACATACATAAATGTTATACAGGCATGGAGCTTAGATTTTGATATACATGCTGGGAAAGATAGCCCCTTGGATGAAAAGACAAGTCTTTGTTTTGATATGAAAAGCATAAGAATAATTATATCATTAAAAAAAAAGAACTTTGAAAGCTGTGGAACGATAGAGACCTAAGTAGAACAATTTTCTGCACTGAACCTGTGTACACTACAATAACATAGACTCAAACAATTTCCACACTATTAAGCACAAAATTAAAGTTTCTAAAAGAAAATGAGAGGTGGAAAGTGTATCAGTACTTATAAATACAAGTACATAATGTAAAAATAGACACCATCTACAAGAACATGAACATAATATGATGATAAATCATTTAGCAAAGCGCTGGTAGCCTAAATCTAAAATAAAAAATTGATCTGGGGGGTGTTTCATAAAGATTCTAAGTCGAACTTGACTCCAAGTTGGACTTAAAAGTTATGAAGAGCCAATTGTAAATTTAAAATAAAATATATTAAAAAGTGAAAAATTCAAGTATTTTAGATTTTTTATAAATTCCACATCAAGAACATAAAATCTCCTAGATTATGGAAAATATGAATGATTGGAATCAAAATTGTATGCCTTTTAAAATAAATTTTTCTAAATATTTTCATAGATGCTAACGGGTTTCCATAAATTTTAAATCCAACTTAGAGATAAGTTCTCGACTTAGGATCTTTGTGAAACACCCCCCTGAAAGCATTGGCTCGATATAAAACACTACTTGCAGTAAAAAAAAAAAATTTGGACAGCAGTAAGGCACAATTTACTCTACTAAAAAGCAGGTAGCAGTTGGCATGATTTGTATCCTTTGGCTAAATGGAACATTAAAAAGATTGGCTGGGGTTCTACGAATATACAATGCTGGGAATAACATTGGGAACTTCAATCCCATAAATATTCTCACCCAAACTTCAATTCACGTATCAAGTTATCAATCCCATTCACTTTATGTTGCCTATTTGCCTAATTTTCTACATAACACAAGAAATGCTGTTTCTCGTATACAAATAATAAATGCTTGCGAGTGCATTGGACAGTATGCACTGCAAGTAGGTTAAGTCACGATCAGATAATAAACAAGACTTGTCGCGTGCATTATCCTGCTTATTACATGAATTATTTGTTTCATAAAATGGATCGGCAATACAAAGTCGAGAAATAAGCAAAAAATTCCCGATCAAGATGACAAGTAATGGAGTCATGGAGGCCGCCATTTGCTTTATAGCATGACATTACATAAGCGCAGCCAATCAGTACACTATGCGTCTCAGTGCGTGCATCAATGTCCTTGCCATATAAAACTGCGTGGCTTCAGTGCATCTTACTCTTGTATGTCCTAGAGAAACACATATGGGCATCTCAGCCCTTGGGGGTGCTTCACAAAGCCGTTCGTAAGTCATTCGTAAAGTCATGCGTAACTTTACGAACAGCATTATGAAACACCCCCCCCTGCATTATCCTTGCTAGCCGTTCGTTATCACTTTTTGATAGGAACTTTTTTTGCACTGTAGGTGAGGGAGGTAAGAATGATGCACGGTCATGTGTTGTCATTTGACGAATCAGATCGCCTACATTCTAGAAGCGTTTTATAAAAACATTTTAATAATCCATGATATTTCTCTTCAGCATTTTGGTCTTTCTCCTGCGATATATAGAATGTACTCCATATGAATTTGCCCACCAAGCCGACATGTATTACCACATCTACCCCTCATTATAGAATGAAGTACATGTAAACGTATAAAACTAATAATGCTACATATACAAAACATTTTATGAAACAACAGTTTTCATCTAATGATGTATGGAGAAGATATGATCGCCATACTTATTTCAGAAGGAAATATGTCAGGCCATAAAAACTACAAACAAACAAAAAGAATATTGATACATGCAAATTGTTTCTCCTTACGTCCGTTAATCATAGCAAACGAGTAGATAAATCACTGTAATTTGAAGTGCACAAAACTTTCAGGTTATTGTAGATTATCAACATCTCTTTTCAGTATGTTTCTTTCCCTTCACAATCTCACACACTTTGGCTCTGCAGATTTTATTTTCAGTTTTCTAAAAGAACCCATAAACTGTTATAGAGTCAATTAATTCACTTTCAGGGCTGTTAAAAGGAAGATCTCTCAGAATTAAACACAGAAATTTTTGAGCAATATCCAAATTATAATTAGGAAAGTTATGAATTTTTGAAGTCGTCATCAGTGAAATACAAATTGGCAACACTGTAACGCATCTTGCGAGCTCCTCACCAATTTGCCTTGTACAGAATATTTCATAAGCTTTCATTTTCAAACTACTGATGACGGAATAGATTTGTTTCATACAGGGGTTGTAAAAAAAGATATTTGCAACAATTATATTCAGGATGAAAGTATGATTTAGAATTTTCTTATGGGAAAACATAACATTTTGGAGATTTTGAGTACAAGGCAAATGAGAGGGGACCTTTTAAGATATGTCGCAGAGTGGTCAATTTGTGTTTTATTGATAAAACCTTCTACACTTACTTATTTTCATCAATTTTTGCTCAAACTTTCACCTACCAGTGTCTCTAATTTTTCTGCTTCTATTAGTAGAACCAACTTAATATCAGGGTGGACTTCCCCTTTAACTATTCCCTCTATTCAAAAGCAACATGCTCATCTCATAATTCATCTTTAATACCTGATCTAAAAGGGCCATTATCAGCTTAAAGGGTCATTCAGATAAGCTTACTAAACTGCGGCAGATTTTTTTCTTCTAAATGACGCATTAGCATAATGCCCTTCTCATTGCTGCATCTTCTAACACAGAGCTAAGTGAATACTGGTAGGACCTATATTAAGCACAGTATCCATTTGATTACACATTTTAAAACATGAAAACCACCACGGTTTAACCATTCTTATCTGAACTAGCCTTAACTGTACACTTGATTCATAGAACCTCCATCACATCATGCGTAGGCAACATCACCATTTCGTATTTTGTGTACCTGGGGGGTGTTTCACAAAGATCCTAAGTTGAACTTCTCTCAAAGTTGGATTAATGAAAATATTTTGTAAAAGTTATTTTAAAAGGTATAAAATGTTGATTCAAATCATTCATATTTTCTATTATCATTGAAGATTTCATGTTCTTGAGGTGGAATTTATGAAAAGTCTAAAAGACTTGAATTTTTGCTTTTGAATATTTTTATTTTAAGGCTACAAATGGCTCTCCATAATTTTTAAGTCCAACTTAGAGTTAAGTTCAACTTAGGATCTTTGTGAAACACCCCCCTGATCTAAAGAGCAACGAAACAGCTCCATTGAAGAGGTTTCAATAGAACCTCCATCCCTTCATGAGCTGCATGTAAAGTACAGGTAACTTTTCATTCAATACACTTCAGTGACATCTACTCTATGTCTATTCAATGCACGGCATATCGCTTCAAGGGAAAGCTGATCAATACAATGCAGGTCCATTCAACAGGTCATCCATTCACTAGAATTTCGCTGAACAGGAAATCCTTCAACAGAAATCCATCGAACAGAGTATATCTTCTTCAGGCGTCTATTGAACGGGAGTCCACTCGAGTTCAAGCGTAACATCGGAGATTCTTCTCTTTCTCAGTCACATGTTCAGTCGAAAGAGACCTTCAAAGTGGACCAAGACTCCAACATCAGGTTCAAGGCCTTAGGCTTGGTCTTGGGTTTGGCCTTGTCGTGCAGGGTCTTGTTTAGAAAAGGTCTCGTATATAAAATTTCATAACTTATGGCAGCAGAAGAAAGGTAGGAAGATCAAATAGATAAAACTCTTTTTAGCTTGAAGTATTGTTCATAAAGTCTAGTTGCTTGAAAGCACTGAAGGTCATTCAAGGTCACATATCTCCTTCCCTCTTATCAGCGGCTCTTTCTACAGGGTTGACGTTGTTGTCATAGTCTTTACCCTGTATACAGAGAGAGAGACACACAACAGAATGAGAGTGAGAGAGAGAGAGAGAGAGAACAAAGAGAGAGAGAGAGAGAGAGAGAGAGAGAGAACAAAGAGAGAGAGAGAGAGAGAGGCAACAGAGAACAAGAGAAAGACACAAGAGAGAGAGAGGGGGAAGGGGAGAGACAATCGAGAGAGAGAGAGAGAGAGAGAGGGAGGAGGGGGAGAGATCGTAGAGATTCAGAGAGAGAAAGAGAGAACATAGAGAGAGGTAAGTAGAGAGGGGGAGAGACACACAGAGAAAAGGGAGAGTGAGCTTTTTATAAAAAATCTGATATTTCAATTACATTGTAATGTGAATTACACCCTTTACTTCTTACAGTATAGGACTCCAATTTAACTTTTTTTTTCAATACAAAAAAAATAAGTGAAATAAATGCAAAGTGCAAGTAGACTTCATTACTGCCTGTGCCAAGATGTGTTAACAAAATGAACTACTCTAATAACAATAATATATGAAATTTGTCAGGCCTAACATGAAAAGTGCTTTATTACAACCAACTGGGAGAATAAAGAATTCTATGAAGGAAAATCTTACCTCATCTTCATCGTCTCCAGGATTTTGTAAAACAGGATTTACCTGTAAAGAAGAAGAAAGCAGTATCCATGAAGAAAAAAATGAAAAAATTGCACGTCCTTGTTCATTCAGATTCAATGCTGAAGCATTCTAGCATGGAAATTGTAAAGACTTCTGCCAGACTATCATGAAGCTCAAAATCATTAGCCAACTGATATAATGAGACCCCTATGACTTTAACAACATCTGCAATGTACTAAAATATGTAAGTGATTATTTAGTGCTTAGTTATCAGTCTCAAAAAGAATCGTGTATAAGCATTTACTCATTACTTACAAAACACTTCTTCATTCTTCACCCCATTACTTGTATCAGATTTTGAAACCGTACACCCCACAACGGAATTTACGTTCTCATTTACAGCTCCAGTTATGTACACCCAAAACCAATAACAAATGGGGGGACAGGGCTTTTGCTAACGTTGCAATCAAATTATGGAACACTTTACCATTAGAAATAAGACAATCGACATAAATTGAAATATCTAAGAAGAAAGTTAAGCACCATTTGTTTATGTCATAGTTTTAATATAGTATAATTATTTTGATGTTGTACAGAGTGCCTTGAGCAGTCTTTTAGAATTGATATGTGCGCTTTATAAGTTGACATTATTATTATTATTATTATTACCTATGTGTGCTTGTGTGAATATTTTATGCAAATAATGTACCTTGCCAATAATGACTGACATTACCAAAGAAAAGAGTTGTCTTCGCACTACAGATCATACACCATGTGTTAATGTTACAATGTTTACAACAACAAAAAATGATTCCATATTTCTTCTTCATAACATCTGGAAAGAGGTCAAGACTTGCATCACAGCTGGCTCAAGTGCTGCCAATTCAAGGAGTAAATGTTACATCTAAATTGTAGGTCTGTTACTGGAAACTAGAATTGGCAGGATATTCCCGGTGAATTGATAAACCACAAAACAGTTCATGACTTTACATCAAGGGAGAACTTGTGTTTAAAAAAAAAATAAAATAAAATAAAAATATATATGATTAAACACTATACTAAAAACAAATGAAGGCATTTTCACACACAAAAATCACAGGTGCGTTTCAGTTAAATTTCTCTCATATGCTTGTATGAGAACAAGAGCTAACTTATATACAGTAGACTTGCAGGTGCACCATGTGAGAGAGAGGGAGGAGCTAACTTGAAATGAGAATAACTTACTATATTGATATTTTGTTGATTATTATTGTCTTCTTCATTCCTTTCATCTCCTTCGTCTTCCTCATCGTTTGCCTCCTCATCATCCTCTTCAGGAGCACCTTCACCAATATCTGTCAAAAATGGGAACAAGAAAAAAAATGCTCAGTACAAGTAGCAATCGCAGCTTCATCAAAACTAAGGAAATAACAGTTTCTTAAGAAAACACAACTTGTAACATAATCTCTCCAATCAAACTTTTGATCATAATCTTCTTTCATTCGCATTGCATACATTTGTATTATGAATCTATATCATCATTACCACTCCTGGAATAAAAAGAATTTTTTTGTTTTTTGTTTGTTTATGTATTTATGTTTTTCATCGAAAGCCCTGAACAGAAACATAAAAATACACAAGGGGCCTGTTCACACCGCAAGGGGGAACCCTGGGCGCGACCCATGGTCGGCCCATTGGCATTCGCCGGATCCACACTGCAGTGAGATCCTGTTGCCATGACGCGTGACGTCATGAGGTCAGAGCGGTCAAAGATTTTGCGCGCTATTACGAACCCGTAGTTGAGTTGTACCGATTCAGATCGCACCAAAATAGAATGAGTAATAAAATTCCCCGCGTGTAGAACGATGACTTCCGGCGTGCTATCGTAGCTCGGGTTCACTCGCGGTCTAGTGCGTGCTAGACCGCGCTATCTATCGTGGACCACCCCCAGTGGCTCCAGCGGCACACGTTTTGGCTCGACGTGGCTCGCTGTTGGGCGGACCGAAACGACCTTGTACCTTCCACACCGCAAAGATAGCGCGAGACCGCGCTATCTCTGCCGGTGTGAACAGCCTCAAGGATTACAAATATATATGTACATAATATTGAATACAATGGTTAAAGTCCAGTTACATGTAACATCATGAGTAGGGTCTATCCACATGTCTATCTACATTTAAAAAAAAAGTTATTCAGAGGAAAATAAATAGGTTTCCAAATTAAAAGACAATTTCTTACCGATAGCATTTGGCATTTGAACTTGGGCATCGCCTCCATTCTCTCCGTTTCCTATATTATTATCTGCTTCTTGAAGGCCAAAATTACTGTAAAATAACAAGGAAACAATAAAAAAATCTACGGTGAATGCTGTGCAGCCAAGAACCATATCTTGCTGAAAATGTATACTGCTTGTAAAGGAAGACAAGATAAGGAATTACATGTAGAGTGCATAGCAAAATATTCTAAAGCCCCACTGCACTACTTATAGCTACTTGCGCCCTCTATATAGCAAACAATGCCTAAGTGGTACCCGTTGGTTCCCCATGATCCCCTTTTTCTTATGTTAAGCTTATCAACACTAGTGTGGCTAGGAGGGAATAGACCACACAGCGAGGTCACTGACAGGTGGCTATCTCATCAACTCAACTCTCAAATAACATTAGAAATAGAGGATCATGGGGGACCAACAGGCACTGATTGGGGAAGTTTTCTTTATAGAGGGAGCAAGTAGCTACAAGTAGGACAGTGGGGCTTTAATTGAGAGCTTATTTGATGAGATAACCACCTGTCAGTGATCATGCAGGGAGGTCTATCCCTCCTGGCCAAACTAGTGCAGACAGGCTTTAAAAGAAGACAAGACAAGTAATTGCATGTAGAGTGTACAGCAAAGTATTTTAAAGCAAAAACCGAATGAGAGGAATTCGCATTCTGACATTTTTGAGCCTACTAAAATTGCAAGTAATTAATGAAAGGTTTGCTTAAGCAATTAATTATTCTGAGCTTCACATTACTAAAAACTTGTTTAAATATGAGGAGGCAAAACCGCTGCATTTTTTTTTTTGATGACGTGGAGTGTAATACCCTTCGCATTTCTGTATCTTATAATACAGAGCTCCATGAATACACGCAGGACCTTTGTTGCGCGCAGTTGCCATTTATTTTACACTTTAATCAAAAGAAAACATAGTGGGATTTTTTTTTACGGCAGTTTATTGTGTCATATCTGAACAAGTGTTGAGTTGTCACTTGGAGAGATTGAATACTTTGGAGTGAAGACAAATGATGATTCTGCATATGCCATACAGAGACAGCTGTGTGTCCAAGATGACATATGATAAAGTGTATGATTTGTTTCACATAACATTGAAAGATCACTCAAAATGATCACTCACAAATTAATTTTCTGTGAAGACTTTTGGGTGGTTTAAAACTCATTTTCATTAGATAATTAATTAAACTGATTAAATAAAATCATTCATATCATCAAAATTGAAAAGGAGCATTATGCTATCATTTATTTGTATGTGTAGTGTTTGCCTTCTTGAGCAATACCAAGTTATCCATTCTGTTCAGAGTTTATTGAACAGTTTATTGTCTGAATATTGTTAGACATGCACATTTATCGACAAAACTATTAGTTGTATTTTCTTCTTTTTACCCATTTTCTCTATTTTGTTCTTCTCTATGGCCTTCCTGTTCCATTCTGAATTTATCACCCTGCAAAGAAGAAAACAATATAGAAGAGAATAGTAGAATGTTAATAGAAATTGCATATGAAGTCATGTAGTACTCATTCAAAGAATATTGCTTACATACAAACAGTTCATGTAGAATGCTAATACAACAAAGAAAGATGATTTTTTTTTTTTTAAAGATGGATATCAATCTTTACAAGAGGCTTTAATTCCATCTGGGTGCAAAAACACTGCAAATTCATAAGCCTCTTTCTGTAGTGTACATGGAATAAAAAAAAATGTGCATAACACAGATAACTTCATTATTATGGTGTCTTGGTCAAGGTACATAGACCACTAAAGTACTGTTCAACTACTCAGAAATAAATTTTCTATATGTAGCCAAAGAGTAGAACTGAATATATACAGTAAAACCTGTATATAAAGACTGCTCAAGAGAAACATGAAAAGTGGTCTTTATAGGCAGGTCTTTATGTACAGGTTCCTTTACAACATGTCTCAATGAGAAACCATGTTAAAAGGGGGGGATGTGGTCTTTTTAGACAGTTGGTCTTTCTATACAGGTGGTCGCTAAAGCATGTTCGACTGTTCATGTGCATCATCTCACTTATTTAGTAAAATAACTTAGTTTAAAAAAAAAATTATTTAAAAATAAAAATATGTATTATCAAGTGTTACAACTAGAGAGATTTCTTACCTGTTCTTCTTTATGTTTTCTCTCTTGCTCTTGTATTTGTCTTTCGGGATCGTTTCCTATAAACATTCCTCCGTCTGTATGGGAAAGGAGTACAATCAATGTCATAGATGCACGTTCCAAACAGTCTTCATATGAATATCTGACTTTTGTTTTATGTTAGTTTCTCATGAATACAGGCAAGTTACATCTAAATTATTCATACCCTTACCAAGTTTGGAATTTGTTTAAGTTTGTGAAAAATTGATTTGTCCCAATTTATGTTTCTTGAGAATGTTACATATTAAAACTTACATCTACAAGACTTCAAAGATGGCCCTAATCCAACCGGTTCACTTTTCATTCTTGAAAAAGAAATCAAATCTACAAGGAGTATAAATGACTCAGCTGTTAAATGTAAATACATGTACAAATACAGTGTATACCAATGCTTTCTTTTTCTCACATTCTTTACCAGTTTACTGCTTTATTTTTGTTGCTCCTCTTTTTCTGCTAATACCCCTTTGTCTAATAATAACTATTATTTGTATCTGAATTCGCCCATCAAATGTTTCTGTCCAATTGTCGGTCTCTTTGAATGTCTGTGTGTATGTCTGTCTGATGGTTGCCAGACTGTGTCTCTCTATTTCTCATTCTCTCTCTCTTGTTTTTGCCCCTTATTTTCTATTTCTCTCCCACTTTCTGAATCTCTTTTGCTCCCCGGTTTCACTTTTACTCTCTTACATGTACCTTTCTCTCTACCCATCTATCTCTCTCTCTCTCCCTCTCTCTCTGTCACTCTCTCTAACTGTACCTCTCCTTTTCTCATCCCCTCTCTCTCTCTCTGTAACTCTCTTGCTCTCGCTCTCTCTCTCTCTTGCTCTCTGTCACTCTCTCTCTTCCCTTCTCTCTCTCACTGTCACTCTGTCTCTCTTTGTAACTCTCTGTCTCTCTCTCTCTCTCTCTGTCACTCTCCTCCCCCCCCCCCTGCTCTATCTCTGTAACTCTCTCTTTCTCTGTCACTCTCTCTTTCCCTCTCTCTCTCTCTTTCTCTCTATCTATCCCCCTCCCATTGTGTACCGTGTGCTTGAGCAAACTGATTTGCTCCTCCCATCTCCTCGTCTCTCTCCAACTGGCCTTTCTCCTCCTCCTCTTCTGGTTCTTCTATCCTCTCCCTGTTAAGGTCCCCACCGGCGGCTTGATTGATCCTTCTAAGCTCCGCCTCCTCTGCTACCTGCTCCTGCCGTAACCTCCTTCCCTCAATCTCTTCTGCTTGTGCGTTTCTATCCAATCTGTACCACAAGGATAATTATATTGGATGGCCTTGAGTGTGATACAAGAAAATATTGCTCGAGCTATGACAATATTGAACGAGTCGGAGACGAGTCCAAAATTGTCATATATAAGCCTCATATAATAATAATAAAATATGTTCAACAAGATAGAGTACAGTATATTCAAAACTATTTATTCACCTATATTTGTCTACAAAGGCCACACTCTTTGTTTCCTTTGAAAATGGTTTCTCATTGAACATGTACTAAAGGAACCTGTCTACGAAGACCACCTGTCTACAAAGACCACTTTTTGTGTTTCCCTTGGGCGGTCACTATAGACATGTTTGACTGTATTCACCTATATTTGTAATATGAACAAAAGGGTAATAATGTATACATACATTGACTTAAGGAAAATATACCATATAGTACAATTTATCAAAAGCTATCCATTCGTCCACATTGTTATATTGATAAAACTAGATGATTGCGACTGTCTCCAAAATGTTTCCAACCATATTCATTTCAATAATGACTGTGACCTTTGACATCTGCTTTACCTTCACTTGAGAAGATCGAGGTACTTTTCAAATCCTACCTTCTTTCCATCCCCAATCCTTCTCCTTTTTCCTCTTCTTCTAATTTCTATGACTGTGACCTTTGACATCTGTCTAACCTTCACTTGAGAAGGTCGAGGTACTTTTCAAATCCTACCTTCTTTCCATCCCCAATCCTTCTCCTTTTTCCTCTTCTTCTAATTTCTATGACTGTGACCTTTGACATCTGCCTAACCTTCACTTGAGGAGGTCGAGGTACTTTTCAAATCCTACCTTCTTTACATCTCCAATCCTTCTCCTTTCTCCTCTTCTTCTAATTATTGGTTGATTCTTCTCATCTCCTGTTGTTCCTGAGCTCAAGTGAAGGTAAAGCAGATGTCAAAGGTTACAGTCATTATTTAAGTCAATAACTTGAGGAGGTCAAGGTACTTTTCAAATCCTACCTTCTTTCCATTTCCAATCCTTCTCCTTTCTCCTCTTCTTCTAATTTCTGGTTGATTCTTCTCATTTCCTGCTGTTCCTGAGCTCTCTGCATCTGCTCTGCGGGGTTGTCCTGGTCTCTGCGAGGGAAGGGTGGCAATCGCTGCTGGGGCTGAAGAGGCTGGAATTGATCACCTCCAGCTCCTCTCCCGTCATCGTTATTTCTACATGGAATACAACAAAACATAATCATAATAACACGATAGGATAGTTTTATAGTGCTCATATCAATCATTGAAGGTGCTCAAAGCACTCCAATATGATTGGGTTATCCTGGAGGGTGTTTCACAAAGCCTCTTATCAATGACAAATGACAAAAATCAGTGACAAATCTGCTGATAACCAATCAGAAGCAAGGATTTCAGTAGCTTATAGCAACAACTGTCATTTGTCACTGATGACAAGTTTTGTGAAACACCTCCCTGGTCTCTGCGGCGCACAGGTGGCAGCGGTGGGATGCGCTGCTGAGGATGAAGAGGCTGGAATTTATCCCCTCCAGCTTCTCTCTTGTCGTTTTTAAGTAATAATAATAAAAATAATAATATGTCTTGTTTACCCATGGTGGCCTCATCAGTATTCATACTGTTCTCCCTGAGGGCCCTGCAATCATTTCATTACCCCGGCTTTAACCGAGCTACCATGAGGTGCTCAAGCATTCAAGGAATTTCTTCCTACCTGGTACCCATTTACCTCACCTGGGTGGAGTATGGCAAATTTAGATTCATGTCTTGCCAAAGGACATGCCATATCATGATGCCGGCCCAACATAATGTTAATAATAACATTAAAGGATAGTTTCATAGTGCTCATATCAATCAATAAAGGTGGTCACAGCACTCTAATTTTACCCGTTCTAGCGGGACGACCAATTTTAGTGCTAACAGCATTCAAGGAGTTCCTTCCCCCTAAGTTCCATTTAACAACCGGATGGAGAGTGAAAAAGTTAAATTAATGTCTTGCCACATTTTGTCAGAGTGTCTGTACACTATTAAATTTACACCACCTCTTTCCTTCACATAACAAATGTACTAGCTCAAAGATTTTCAGCAATATATACGAACCCTTGTCTTTGTCCTCGTAGAAATCCATTTGGTCCTCGAAGCTGCTCTCTGTCGCCCACTGGTTCAACTCGACCCTGGTGTTCAAGAGGAAAAGGAAATTACAGAATTATAATTATCATTTTCATGTTAAGGCTAGATCATTAACATAAGAAAAAGAGGATCATGGGGGGACCAACGGGCACTGCTTAGGCATTGTTTTCTATATAGAGGGAGCAAGTAGCTACAAGTAGTACAGTGGGGCTTTAAAGTCCATTTTTACACTCGGCCTATCATGACCCTGAATGAATGTTGCCTATGCATGTATTGTTGTTACCTTGAGACGTTGTTGTAGCTGGTTTTGTTGCTGTTGGTTTTGTTGCCTCCTCTCTTGGAGCGCTTTCTGGTATTGCTCATTCGCTGCATTCTCATCATCTGATTCATCGCCCTCGTTATTCAGCTCCTTCTCTTGTTGCTATGGTTACAAAGTGGGTAAATGATAAAGATGTGTCATTCGATTACAAGATTAACTGTGCTAATAAAGTCTATGGATTCTCATCATCTGATTCGTCGCCTTTGTTTTTCTGTTCCTTCTTGTGCTGCTATGGTTACAAATAGATGAATGATAAAGATGTGTCATTTGATTACAGTATGATCTGTGCTAATAAAGTCTATGCAGGCAATCTGTACTAACTCCTGTAGGATAATTTGTTTTTGTTTGCTTTTTTCCCCGATTACCTTAGGTAGTCTAATCCGTATTAATACTGTTGTTCCTGAGGGTCCTGCAATGATATTAATACTACGGATGTATCGTTGTAATTTGGATTGTGTTGAGGGTTGGGTGTAGTGTATGGTCCAGGGATGAAGTTTGGAGTTCATTTGGTGTACTAGGATATTTGATGCGGATCAATTATCCCCATAGCATGTGTCCCCAGAGCATGTGTCAAACAACCTATCCCTTAATATACTAAAAATAAAACGATGCTTATAAAGCGCTTTCCACCAATGTCTCAATGCACTATTATTATTATTATTATCTATTATTATAAGATGATGACGTGGATCCTAATCAAATGATTGGTTGAGAGCGTACACGTGACCAGGCATTTATTTTGCCTAACACATAATTTTGATAATGACCGGTCATTAGTAAAATCATGTTATAAAACATCATTTTATAAAACAAATAATACATAATCTAATAAGACTAATCATACACATCATTTTTTTCGGGCAATAGGAAAATTACCCACACCCGGTACCTTCAAAACAGTCCAAACACCCTCGGCTATCGCCCTCGGGCGTGTTAGACTGTTCCAAAGGTACCTTGAGTGGGTAATTCTTACTAATGCCCTCACTGCAGTGTATTATTTGTATACTATACCTCATGAGCTTGATAATCCACTGCTCTTTGTTCAGTTTCATCACCCGGGTCTGGTACTGCTTGCTGACCCTAGAAACATGAAAGGAAAATAAACATTCTAATGAAAAAAGGGCCTATCAAATCTCTATCTCTAATAAGTATCTTCTCCCTGTTCAGAGGTTGATTGCAACATCTCTCCATTTCACTCTTTCTTCTGCCATTCTGGTGCACTCTTGAAGTTTTAGTCCACTCCAGTGCTTGACATTTTCTTCCCGGTTGATCCTGGGTCTCCCTCTCGGTCTAGTTCCTTCCACTCTTCCCTCCAACACATCAGAGGCTATGGTGCTTTTTAAGTATCTGTTGTCACCTGCGCCTGGGAGGCGAAAAATGAACTAAATCACTGTAACCCTCAGGTCTCTCCTCACAGTATAACTGTTTGGGGGTGTGCAGGTGGATTTTTTTTTTATCAGTTGGCAGTCTATTTCTATTCTTGACTAACTTTTAAATGAATATAATAAGCATTACCTGATCGTTCTCACTGCTACTTTCTTGATTAGGATTTTCTCCTTCACCTTCTGGCTTTTCCAATCCTATATCTCCTCTCCCTTTATCTGGTATTGGATTAACTAATCCCTGGAAAAAAAACAAGAAAAAGAAAACAGATAATACATTACACTAATTCTGTTAATAAAATAGTTGCCAGGGTCCTGACAGGGTTGTGACTGATTTGGATTGATTACAAGTCCCCAAATCCATTATTACAAACTTCTATAGCTTTAATAAAGAATTGCCATGAATCGACACCAAACATCACAGTCATAAGACGGCTCTGGACCCCTTTGCATAAGCTTAGCAATGATGGTATGTTTATCATTAACAGTTCCATGGAACAGTGATTTGTTTGGCCGTTGATTGATGTTGCCATGGTAGTTAATATTGATGACAAAGTTACCATCAGTGGTACCTTTTAAAAAACGGGGCCTAGGTGAGCTGAAGACATCAAGAATATAGTAATCACATTTATAAACATGAAAAGGCACGGATATCAGGTAGCTTTGGAGTTATATCGAGTAAAACTGATAAAATTTTAGGTTGTTTGTACATTTTTTCACAAATTTCACAAATCACTCATTGATTGCGAATTTAACAAGCGAAAATATTTTCAGCAAGTTATGTCGCAAGTTTAAATTAAATCACTAAAGTAAGCCCTATCACATTCCGCACACGGCGTCTACACCATAGCATGAGCCGTCACCAGGTCATGCAGCACAACATAAGACCACACTGAGAATATTGTGGCACTCCAATAGATTATTTTCATTTATTAAAGAAATATTACTAGGAGCTATTGTCACCAGACTAAATCCTGAAAATATACCTGAATAAGAAAGTGAAATATTACCTGGTCTTGAGGCTGCTGTTGCCTTTGTTGTTGATCAGGATCATTTTGCGGAAATCCGTTTCTATTGAAGGTGTTCTGCTGCTGATTCTCCTCTTGATTCTATTTGGAAGAAGAAGAAAAAAAAAAGAGACATAAAGATGCGCTTAGAAGTAAAGTAGTGCATAAAAGAATTTAGATTTGTTGTTGTTGCAAGGTTTAATTTAAACCAGGCGACTACTTTTAAATACCTTCTCTTTCTATCTCTCTCAAGAGTATAATTACGTTGTTGAAAAAGGAATATTCATTCTAGAATTCATGAAGGTAAGTTAAAAATCGTATAATTCTTTATATTTTTTTAAAAGAGGAGTAAAACATTAATAAACTCACAGGGTTAGAGAGAAAGAATGGAAAAGGTAGCCTAGGATAAAAAGCACTCACAGCTTCAACCGGTTTGCCGTTCTGATGGTAGCGTTGTTTCATGAGTTCCTGTTGCCTGAGTTTGTCAAAAATCCTCTGCCCTTGGTCATTACCAACACGTGGTTGCTGCTGTTGCTGTTGTTGTTGCCGAGAATCAAACTGTGCCTGGCCTTGATTGTTGTAGCCACCCGGTTGCTGTTGCTGTTGCAAGTCAAGTTGCTGCTGCTGCTGCCTCAAGTTCTGCAATGCCTGCCTCTGCTGTAGAAGCTGCTGGTTGTTCTCTTGTTGTCTATATGTTGGTTGTTGCTGCTGTTGTTGCTGTTGTTGCTGCTGCTGTTGTTGCATGAACTGGTTTCTCTGGCCACGTTGTGGGAAACCTTCAACACAGGCAAGACAAGATTAGATGTGTCTATTAATCCTATGAAATCTACCCCTCCCCCCCCCCCCCCCCCCCCTCCCCCTAAATGTTGCGATATGTTTGAGGATAGATTGTGGCATCAACAAAAACCTTCAAAACTACAGTCCTACTCATCTTTTGATACCAAATTGAAAACATTTGAACCGACAGTTACTATGCGGTATACAAAATTGCTGCGCTGTGTCACTAAAAATGAGTTTGCCATATATCAGTACAAGTTCACCTACATCTCACTGAAACGCATGTGGAAATTAAAACAAGCGTTTCAATGGGTAGTCAGCGAAATTGTAATTATGATAGTTGCGAGAAATGCTGCCCTGGTTTTTGGTTTTACACTATGTTATGATGAACATTTTCTTTTTATAAATATCATCGTTACCTGGTACTTGTCTATTCAGCTGAATGGGAACTTCTCCTTGTTTTTGCTGTGGTTGTTGTTGTTGTTGTAGCTGCTGCTGTTGCTGCTGCTGTTGCTGAAGTAATATTTGTTGTTGCTGCTGCTGATCCTGTGGATTCTGTTGGTCTTGCTGGTTTCCTTGCGGGTATCCTCTTAGACTATCAATGTGTTGCTGCAACGGAACAAAAGGCGAGCTTATCATAACTAAATTACATCTTTACATAATGTTCGAACTTCACAGGCACCAATTATAAGCTTCAACTGATATATCTGTAATAGAGATACATGAACATGCATATACATATATATCGCAAATTGAATTACACTCCACGGGGAGATGCAAGTTGCGATTAGACTGCCGGTAGATACATGTTACACACTCATATATGCCTTTACATGCACAGCAGGTCAATTCTGCATGGCTTGTGAAAATGCCAGTTGCATACATAAGTCAGTTGCAGCATAACATACTGCCTTTGATGCACAGTTAGCACCTTAAAAAAGTGTCACCATTATTAGTTTCATTCATTTTGAGAAATTCACTGTAAATGACTGTCGACAGTGTATTTTATGATGTAATCGAGTTGATTTATGTTGATTAATGTACTATTATCAGTCTCTTTTTTTTACGTAAAACATTATATCATGTCTTTTGTGGTTTTGAATAAATGAACTTGAACTTGAATGAACTAAACTGGCAACCATAACTATTGCCTAGGTTGCCCAGTTGGCAGCTCAAACGAAATGGAAAGTGAGAGCCCTGTTCTTGCAGACCTTGATATAAATCACCTTTCCGCATTTCCATCTACGCTTAGACATTTTAATGCCTTAAAGTTCTATTATTTTTCAGGTATTGGTACGCGTATGCAGTGTCTATTCAATATTTTACACACATGAGCTGTCTTGTCTCATCAATTGATTTACGTCGTTGTACATCATTCGAGCGCTTTGGCAAACATGACGGAAGTAAAGATGACGGGAGAATTCACTCAACCTAGATCGTCCTGTACTCTGCTCCCATCTTCATTTGTTACCTGTTTCGGTACCCGGAACGGGGATGTTGATGTGTAGTTGTGTACGCTTGTCAGAAATAGTGTAGATGATAATTAACATGTCAAAAGTTGGATAGTCGAGCACAAAGTACAGTTGGTATATACGATCATACGATATCTATATCGCGATTGCACTGCGATACAGCTCTTCCGTCGTGTTTGCGAAAGCGCTCTAATGAAGGATGGCTATGGCTTTGTTACCTTATATTGCAGGTTTTTCTGGGATAGGTCCTCCAGTTGAGCCTGCAACTGGGCATTGTTGGTCTAAAAGAAAGAAAGAAAGAAAGGATACATACAAAATAGCATTAATTTGGGCAAAGAAGTTTGAATTCTGAAAAGGCAACCAAATATTAATGTTATTCTTCCATTCTGTTTTTTTAAAGGGACTTGGTAACATTGTTCAAATGAGAGATAGTGGTGCTAAGGTAGTGACTTCAATGCTAGATGTACAATTAAAGATAATCTGAAATTTTGAGTGAAAACGGACCATTACTCATGGTACAAATTGGAAAAAACTGATCTGATCGATTCCTTAATTCTCCCAATTTAATTACATTTTAGGTGAATGGAAATCTAACAAAGCAATAAAATGGCTCTACGTTCCATTCCAGACATTTAAGTGTTGACAGATTTTTTACAGCCTGTTTTATGTCTTTTTTTCATGGAAAAATGGTTGTGAAAATTCAAAAATAGGAGAATTTAATGTTAATTACTGTTAGAGGGTGTAGTACATCGACGCCTTCAAAGAAAACCATAGATATCTTCTTGGTTTGAGAATTTTTTCAGGATTTTTTGCATGTCAGAGGGTTAGTACAGTAGAAGGAATATAGTAAGAAACATTTTATACAAAAATTGAGTAATTTTTTCATCAACCTTCAACAATGTTACCAAGTCACTTTAAATGTATAGGATTTTTTTTAAATGTGGGCGTTCCAGTTTAACTAACATGACCTTCAGACTTTTTAAAACAAATTCATCAGTTTTCGGCAAAATCAAGTGATCAAACAAATTTCAGTAAGTAAATACCAGGGACACACATGGTAAGTTTCTTATCAAAATAACTGAAGAGAAATTAAACTATTTGTAACTGTAACATACACGACACTAAATGGGCAAGGTTTTTTGTTTGTTTAATGCTTGTAAACAGTTTGAAAATCCTCTACATTTTAGGGTTAGATGAAACAAATTTAGGTATTAAGGGAAGGGTATGATCACACTCTGAACATAGATACATGTACAAATCTACAGGTAGTGCATGTATTAGATAGCAAGTTTCCTATCAGAGCTAAAAAACGGAGTGCTTTGGACATGACAGGTTTTGAATATTATAGACATGACACTTTTGTTAGTATAAACCCCTTTAGCGTTGCTTTAAAATGTTTATTGGGACACGCAAACCTTTTAAAAACCCTTGTTTTATTCACACAATTTACTGCAAAAGATTAATACAAAGTGCTTGTTGAATGAAATAATGAGACCCAAACATACAACGTAAGCTATTTTGACCAAAATCGCCATCATGCCTAAATAAATTTCAATCTTATTGATATTAAGCCATCAAATTTTTAGTCAATGTGACAATGATTTTGGGCGGAATGGTGGTGTAATCATCATGGCTGTACCTGGTGGGTGTTGATCTGCATGGCGTAGGATTCTATTTGTTGTGCTAACTGGTCTCTGTCTGCTTTTGTCTGCCCATAATCATTCTGAAAGAAAAACAAAAGAGGGGCGGGGGAGGGGGGGGGGGGGTAACATTGAGCAATATGAGACATTAAGTTATAGTGTAAATCAGAGGTAACAAAGACGTGTAACTACAAGTAGATGTATTATGTGTATTCTTGCAGTAAGCTGATTCACCATTATCATCAACAGCATTATTATGATCATCGCTATCATCATCATCATCATATCTATCACCATCACCACCATCATTATCACTACTATTATTATCACCATCACTAAAAATTCAGTACAATCATCAGCAGCAGTAGCAGCATCATCATGATCATTATCTTCATCATCATCCTCAATAAAATCAATAAAAAACATTATTGCTCTCATCACCATCGATCATCATCACCCTCAATATCTTCATTATCATCTTTCTTTCACCACCATCATTACCATCATCATCATCATCATCATCATCATCATCATCATCATCATTGCCATCATCATCGCCATCATCATCATCATTATTCCTATCATCATCACCATCAAACCTCTACAAACCTGTAATTGTCTCAAACTGTACACAGTCTGTTGATGCTGGTTGGTTATTTGGTCCAACGACTCTTGTGTTTCACTCAGTTGCGCTGTAAAGGAATTAAATAAAGTCAACGAAACGTCTGTTGATACATGTACGGCAAGCAGCCAGTGAAAACGAATTCGTTTAATCAAATTATGGAAATGCAAATATCACTTTAAACAAACAGAACTTTGTTATTCCTGGCTCAATTTTCCTGATTGAGGTGTCATATGAAAGAGCAGAAAATGAACTTTCTAGAAATGTGAATTTTTCTTCGAAATTCAGATACCGCTCGCCAAATGACTTTTTGGTTTCCTTCCTTCAAATTACTTTTAATCACTCATGCGTGAAATATGCATCATATGAGTTGCATCAAATGAAAGAGGAGGATCTAAGCTTTACAAATATGTGTCATTTATGAATTGTTATTGTGAATAAGTTATGACAAAACATCGATAATTCTCGGTTTCGTTTTTTCTGGGTCGCACTGTATAGTAATAAATAATTACAAGTAGGTGTATGTCTGGAGATCTTTACACACATGGATACAACAGACATATTTTATGCTATGTTTTGTCTCTTGCATTTAAACCTATCATATTACGTCTTTCCCAGTGCGCATCATGACTCTCCCGCTTCATAAATTGAAAATTGCATTGCAACGCATGAAAGTGAAATCAATAATAAAATTGACATTTATATTTCCATCTTCATCACAATACATACAAAGATGTATCATAATAAATAGCAATATAAAAAAAATTGACATAATTACAATGAAAACATAAAGAAGTATCAACCATTACCATAGTACAAATAGAAAATGATGCATCCATAAAAAATAATAAGGCATGACATTTTAATGCACCAGGTACACTAGTAAAAAATAACAGGCTGTAAAAAAAAAAAAAAATGGATTGCATTTCAGTATGAGAGATAAGGTCTTCAAGGAAGTACATGTATATACCTTTTCCAGACAACATCAAATTGTGTAGAACTTTGCAGGAATTATGAATATGTCTTTTACGTCCTATCTGTGAAATCTAAACGTTAGCAGTGTCCTAGTATTCAAATTATGCAAGGAAACCCGTTTACTTGCTAGACAAGTACACATTGTTGTCAGACACTATCGAGTGACTGGCCAACTTTTTTTGAAATTGGTAATAACATACATAAATGAACTGTAAAGGGTACATGAGAATTTGTCTACATCAATAACCCTCTTCTTGTAATGGTCAAAAATTAAGCTGATTGAATCTTTGCGCAGCACTAAACGTACAACCATTCAGTAAAAGGGTCTGAAAATCAGACTATTACAGGTTTCAATGGGAAAGTCAAGAAGTTAGACTCATGACGGTTTCGAGAAACAGGCCCCAGGATCTAGCTGGAAAATGTTACCTTGCAAAACTTGTAACCTTCTGCTTGCATCTTCCTGCACCTTGGCAACATTCTCCTCGTGTTCGTCCTTCTGCTCCTCAAGCTGGTTCTGAAGGTCTCTACTTAAGCTCTTCTGGTGCTCAAGGTCCTCATGAATATCATCGTGTTGAGCCTGGTATTAAACAAAGACCACACTCAGTCATGATAATCATAATACATGTAATAACAAATATAATACTAATACCAGTAATTATAATAATCATAATAATTACAATATTAATAATCATAATTATAATATTAATAATAATAATAATAATAATAATAATAATAAAAAAACAACAACAAATACTACTAACACCAATACCAAAGATAATAATGATAATGATGATATGAAGAAAATGATAATGATAATAATAATAATGTCCTTTGGCAAGGCGTTTATCTTCAATTGCCACACTCGACCCAGGTGAGGTAAATGGGTACCTGGCAGGAATTAATTCCTTGAAATACTAGAGTGCTGTAATGGCAGTTAGGCTAAAGCCAGGGTAATAATAAATGCACCTCGGAATAGCATTCCTAGATAGACAGCGCTATAAAAATGCCTATTATTATTATTATTAATATCACTATACCAGTATCAGACCAAAGCACTTCAGAGTGCTTGTTCGAACCCAACGTCCCTGGTAATTGGATTCAGTTACATGTAAGAGTCTCCAATCAACTTGGCAAGGTTTAGATACATGTACATGTATGTATGAGGCGACAAACTACAGTGGTTTTTTGTATGTTGACATATGAAGGGTCATACGCTTCACATTACTGTATCTTGTAACACAAAGCTACATGTAGGTGAAAGTATGAATACTGTACATATATGTGCAGGAACTATGTTGCCTGGGGGTGTTTCACAAAGATCCTAAGTAGAACTTAACTCTAAGTTGGACTTCAAAATTATGGACAGCCATTGGAGTCTTAAAATGAAATATATTCAAAAGCAGAAATTCAAGTATTTTAGACTTTTTATAAATTCCACATCCAGAACACGAAATCTCCTTGATGATAGAAAATATGAATGATTTGAATAAACAATTAATGCCTTTCAAAATAACTTTTATAAAATATTTTCAAAGATGCTAATGGCTTTCCATAATTTTTAAGTCCAACTTAGAGATAAGTTCAACCAGGGCTCAAATTAATTTTTTGTCCACGGGGGCTCTTCCCCCCAAAAAAGAGCCCCCGTGAGCCTTCTCACGGGGGCTCTTTTATTACTGACGGGGGCTCTTTTTTATACAAATATCCATTGAATTGGTACCTATGATACTCCTCATTTATTCGCTATTTCATCATTATCATTTCAATCAGCATTTTCCCTCTTAAAAATTTACAAGCTACATAGCTGTTACTGGCCTGTGTATATATATATACCCATACAACACTGATCTTTATGATGTCTTTAACGTGACATATCTTCTTCTCCCCTTGCAAACGAAAAAGAAAACATGGTCATTAAAAGGGATTAAGCGACAAATAATGATTGTGATTCAAATTGATGCAAATATTTGTTTGAATAAGCACTATTATTCACCCGAATCATTTTTGTAAAAACAACTTTTACAAATCTCAGCCACGCTTACTGAGTTGAGACGTTCCATTCAATTTAAAATACCCATTACATAATACACTTCTCCTAATCTCAAAGTGATCTTACAGCACAGTGGCAGAATTGCATGGCTGAGATTTGTAAAAGTCATTTTTACAAAGAAGATTCTGGTGAAAAGCATTGCATATTCAAAAAAATCCTTGCATCAATTTGAATCACAATGATTATTTGTCGCATGGTCCTTTAATTAAATAACCTTGTTTTCTGTTTTGTTTGCATAGGGAGAAGAAGCTATGTCTCGTTAAGAAATCATAAAGATCAGTTGTATTATGCGTATATAATGATACCAGAACAAATGTTGATTATCAGAATGTCATTTTGGAATACCTCTATACAAATACCACATTGTCTTTAGCCCGTATTAGTATTAGTATGATCCAATATAAAGCTATTATTCTTTATTTAATTCAGTATAATGCTTTTCCTCAAAAATAGTTTTGCTATTTTTTTAGGATTGAGACGCTAAGAAATGGTTTAAATGTACATTACACGAACCCTGAACCATTGCAAAATGATGGTGGTTCTCTCTCTCTCTCTCTCTTTATTTTAATCATGCATTATCAACTACATATAAAGCAGCAACCAAAAACTTAGGGTTATCTGAGATAGGTGAAAGTAAGAGTTACAAAGAAAGTCATGCTAAAACGGCGCTTCACTTCCCCCCGCCCCCTGAAAAAAATAAAATAGATTAGTAGTCCTCCTCTCCAGAATCCCCCTCCCCCCCCCCCCCCCCCCCCCGCTTAAATATCACATTTTCACTTGGCAGCCCAAGGGGGCCGGGGGGGGGGGGGGGTGGGAGGAGGGGGTTAAACCCCCTACCCCCCCCCCCCCCCCCCCCGCCGTAGATCTGCCCATGTTATCATATCATTCCACGCAGGGGCGGCGATCCCGGGGGGGGGGGGGGGGGGGGGACGGGGGGACATGTCCCCCCCTCAATTTTTTTAGGGGGGGGGGGATTGTCCCCCCCTGGAAATTTGAAAAAGTGCAAAACAAATTGTATAGCATATACTGAATAATGACTGCAACACACTTTTAGGCTCTGGAAGGCCCAAGAGTGCAGCGTTTAGACTAATAAAATTGCAAAAAAAATCTCGCTCGGTTGCTACGCTCCCTCGCATAACATCCTCGTAAAAAAAAATTCGCATTTCGTCCCCCCGGTCATTAACAGAAATCGCCGCCCCTGATTCCACGACATTTTGGTCTTCCTCTTCTCCTCAAAAGGGACTTTTAGATTTGCGTGTTACGTCCTTTTAAGGCACTGGCAATCACATGTGACGTCCTTTTAAGCACTGGCAGTGCCTTAAAAGGAGGTCACACGTTGCAGTCCACGTTCTCATCGTGCAAATCTAAAAGTCCCTAATATTGATTTACTGGTCGAGGTTCATTATTTGCTGACAACGAAAAACTTCTCCAGGCCATGACCATGTTTCTGCCCTTGCCCGATCGCCTCCAGCTCCAGCAGACATGGCGCGGCAGCGTGCACACGCACCGCTACTAACGGCGCAGTAGGCCTATAACCACTGCTGACGGCGGCACTGCACTGCGAGCTGAATCGGTAATAATAGGCCTACTCATAAAACGAGAAATCTTGCACGCTAATCTTAGTTCCATTTCATTGGTTTAAGGTTTGAAAATTGAAACTCAATATTGTGTTAAAGTTATAACAGAAAAGATTATCTTTATTTTATAATTCCACCGGGGCGATTTTTAATTTTGCAATCGCCCCCGTGAGCAACCTGACGGGGGCGATTTTGTAGCTCACGGGGGCGAATCGCCCACCACCCCCGTGTATTTTGAGCGCTGAGTTCAACTTAGGATCTTTGTGAAACACCCCCCTGCAGTTGCCATTCATTAAAGGGATCGTTTAACAATGTGAAATCTGAGATACACGGCCCTACGTGTTATCAGTGTCTGTGATATGGTGTAATATTGAAGCCCTAAACAAATTGCGCTTCAAAATGATCAAGAAGTGCCTCAAAAAAGTAAAAATCTATGAGTGACTGGTTTTACCATACTTGTTTTACCCAATAGACTGTAGTGTTATGAAAACTGTTTGGCAAACGGTTTTCAAAATGTGTAATTCCAATCATAAATATCTTGATAATCAGACAGGCCATCGGCCTTTAAAACTCATAGGGTTCCTGACTGACCTAAAGGTTTATTATTATGATTGCAGCATGAGCTAAATCCAGAATTTTGTTTCAGAATCTAAGAATCTGAGCGGATCCCTTTAAAAGTTGTTAAAAGGTATTAAAAAACGTGGCATTTTACTGTATCATATCTGAACGAGCCTTTACAGAGAAGACTCTTCAGTCTTCACTCCACTGACGTGGCAGCATTCCCAGCCTGGCGGCCATTTTAGAATGGCACATGTGTGATGAATTTTTACATAATGACGATAGTATCTTACAGGGTGCACATTTTTCAGAAAAAAGAAAAAATTAAAATGTTGACAATTGTTTATCTTTATCAAAGCAAGGCGGAATAATAGTCCTCCTTGTTGTTATTGTTATCAATATAATGTATTTGGTTCACCTGTGCCTGGGAAGGGAAAGATAACTTGATCATTAAAACCATCTGGGGCCAGTTTATAAAAACTGTAATAATGCAAGTCTAGGTTCATGGACATCCCCATAGAACATGCTGTAAATTGAACACATGTTTCTTTGGGATATCAATGAATTGAGAGTTATGATGGTTATACAAAATTTGCCCTGGATTCGTCAGGCTGAACCTTTATATATGTTTTTTTTTAATTCCCCAAGCTGTTTAAGATACTACATCTTTTGTTTATTAGTTTAAACAGCACATTAATACCCGACGATATACACATAAATAACACAACTACGTAAGTAATACTTACTCGCAGCATTTTATGTTGAATGTTGATAGCATTGTACCTGTTTTCATGCTCTTGCTGAAATTATAAGAAACAGGAGACAGTGCAAAGTGTTATTGGAAACAAACGTCTTTATTTTAAGTAAAGTTAAAAGTTAATACAGATAATTAAATAGTAAATTCACCTTCATTTATTATCATGATTACTTATCACTGCCTTTATGAATACATTAACCACTGAATAGCAAAAGATGTATCAGATCATGCGTGATGATGAGAGGTAATAAATTCACTAGAACAACTATTTTCACAGTTTGTGTCATGTCTTTCTCCCCCCCCCCCCCCTCTCTATCCCTCGTTCTCTAAAAGCACAATTATTTGGCTGACATCTGTTACACATAGAGTAAACAAAATAATTAATCATACTGTACCCCTTGTAATTTTGATGTTTTTTTTTGTGTGTGTGTGTGTGCTTTTCATACCTCGAGAATGAAAAGTGGATTGGTTGAATTAGGGCTGTTGTTAAATACTTTCATATACACTGTAGTACATGTATGTAAGCCGGTAAGGGTACAAAATTTAATTGCTAACTGTAAGTGCTGAAAATATACATTTAAACAAAGTAAACAGGAATCTCAAAGTGAACAGTGTTAAAAATGAATAATGTAAATGTATACCATGTTTTTTTCAGGGACATAGAAATAATAAATAACAAAAAATGAAATGAAATTTCAACTTACCCTTGCATCATCAAGTTTTTGTTCAAAACCTGTAAGAGATTTTTTTAAAGAAGTGATATAAAGTAAGTGTATACAAATTTCAAAAATTCCCTTCAGCACCACCTTCAATGGGCAGAGGCATAAATATTTTATAATTCCAGTTGTACATATTAAAAATTTCACAAATCTCGAGAAAGCGGGATTGACAGACTGTCAACATTACATAATGCCTCCAGCACCCCCTTCGGTGGGAGGACGCATACAAATATAATGATTCCAGTTGAATTTCACCAATCTCAAGATCTACATGTACATGATGGTTCTTTAAAAATGCAATAAAACAAGGGAACAAGTCTGACAACTGCACAATCAATGGTAGGAACACTTTGGAGCAGGGTAAAGCTAATGCAAATTTGTGAGGAGGTCTAAAGTGTAGCAATCACCTGAAAAATAATTTGTGTATCTATATGTAGAATGTATAAAATCAATTTAAAAAAAACTTTACAAGGCATTCTATAGATAAACGGTTAATAAGGAGTATAGGGCTCACATGGAACCCAACACGAACTTGGGCTCCGTGCAAGTTCTGTTCTACATTTATATGAGTGCGTACACATGCATTATTGAGTCTACTGATCATGATATTCACTTTATAAAGTAGTATTTGAATTACGATATACTGTATCTCTTTGTAAAAGTAATATTTGAAGATTATATTTTGAATACATTATAGCCACATGGAACAGCTTACATCAAGAGCAAAACATGATTTGGTGATTTGGTACAAATTACTAAAGGTAATAATAATTTTAATTGTATTTACCATAAGTACACTGTACTTTATTCACATAAATATATTTACATGTACATGTACATGACATGCTACAATGTATAAATCTTGTGTGTAAAATTACATTACCGGTATCTTATTCTACCAAAGAAATTTTGATTCTGAAAATGCATGACTATTTTTCTCAACTTTTTGTTTGTAAACATCAATAGTCAAGGGATAAAACGTTGATCATGATGAACGATGAGTATGCTGACATCCTTAGTAATTTTCTTACCTTCTTTGGTTTTCTTCTGTTCTCCTTTAGCAACCTGTAAGGCTTTCTCTAATCTTGATCTGTGCTCATAGACAACTGAAATGAAAGAAGAAGAGAATTTGACAATGTATCAAAATAAAAACAATACAACTAAAAAAACAATGAGAAAACTTGTTCATTCAAGGCCCTGTAGGCTAGTTTCTCTCTGTGTAAAAAAAAAGTTAACAAAACCAGGGAGAAAACTAAATAAAAACGCATTTTCGATTAGAAATATCAATATTCCTAAAGATTAGCACAAGATAATTTACCATACTGGTAAATGCTTTTAGGACTATGACCTCACAGGTTTGGTCAGTCTCCTAATAATTTCTAAAGCACTTTGGCATTGCATAGAGAGACCTTTTATCATACGATCACTAAAAGAAAAAGAAGATCATTATTGTCAAATGTCAAGGTCATCCCACATTATCAATTGTGATTTAATTTTAAACTTAAGTAGTGTTTCAAATGATTTCTTGTACATGTATATGGATAGAATAGAGAATGGGCCATTTCTTGTACAATGAACATGTAATCAAATTTAATGCACAAATATTTGTTACAGTAAGTGCCATGTTACAAATTATTTCAATCACCTGTTACAGTAATTGTTTTTCAATACGGTAGTCAGAATGCAAATTCTATACAATCAGAGTTGTTAGGGAGGACAAGCCAAAATATTTGTCCTACCAGTAGCAACAATTATTGTATTGCAATTTGCATTCTGACTATTGAAATGCAATTATTTGAAATGGGTGAATGAAATAATTTGTAACATGGCACTTAACAAAGATTTATGCATTAAATTTGATTACATTACAAAAATGGTCTATTGTTATCAGAGTTAAAGCATTGTGACACCTAACATTGTACAGTGGTGTATCGTATACTGTCACATTCATCAATCAATATAATCAATAAAATCTGTCTGCTCAGTGCTCACAATAAATATGTATTAGATCCACTCTTACAATCTACAGTCATATTCTGAGAGTTAAATTAATTAATACATTTTGTTGGATTATTGGGGAGCAATTATCATGACAACTACACAGATCAATATTTGCACAGCTGAATCTGTTATATTTACATGTATGGTGTATTTTTGTTTGTCTTTTGATTGTTTTGTATTTTTCTCAGATTGTGGAAATAAACTTGAATTGAAAAATTGAATTGAACTGTCTACAACCTTTGACATTACATGTACTTAGCAGTCCATCTGCCTGAAAAGATGTAATTAAATGATCTAGGGAGCAAGATTATATCTCTAAAATATTTCATTAGATCTTAATAATAACATTTATTTATTTTTGATGTTTTAGTTTATTCAGGACCAGGATGTACATGTACACCAGTCCTCTCTGATCTTGTTTTCCTGATGAAATATGTTCAAATAAATAAATTAATAAATAAATTAAAAAAGTACAAAAATACTCAATGTAAGATGCCGGTTCTCAACTGGAAGAAGAAGGACCAACTTCCCCTGTGTTACACCTGATTTTGGACAAAACGTCACAAAAGCTTTTAAAAACGCAACGTCAGGTATAAATTTTAGTAGAATACGGACTCAATAGACTAGATCTAGATCTAATTAAACTTAGATCTAGTACAATTAGTTCTAGACCCTAGAAAGAAATAAACAGTTTTGCAAGTAAAGTTACTAAACTGTCTTAAAAGTTAAAGAAAGAGGACCTGCAAAAGTGCTAGACCGAATTTTCCGTCTCTTTCGTTCGTTAGCCTCTTATTGGGGTAGGGTCGGCCGGCTCTCTCTTTAGAGACGGAAACCGTCTATACACATTCCCTTGATAACGCCACGGCCATTTCAGGTCGTAGCGTTTTGCCCCCAAATTCCCCCAAAATGTCATTTTACCTCGTGCATGTTATATTGTAAATTAGGCCTAGGCTATAATAAATCAGTTCCACTTACCAACTTGACTGAAATAATCAGTTTAATAGTCCCTTTTTAGGAATTTATGGGTCAAAATCGAAATCCATGTTGAAAAAGATTTTCAAATTGGATTTCGATTTTGACCCATAATTTCCTAAAAAGGGACTATTAAACTGATTATTTCAGTCAAGTTGGTAAGTGGAACCGATGTATTATAGCCTAGGCCTTATTTACATGTGGATATGCACGAGGTAAAATGACATTTTGGGGGATTTTGGGGGCAAAACGCTACGACCTGAAATGGCCGTGGCGTTATCAAGGGAATGTGTATAGACGGTTTCCATCTCTAAAGAGAGAGCCGACCCTACCCCAATAAGAGGCTAACGAACGAGAGAGACGGAAAATTCGGTCTACAAAAGTGCAAGCTGAAATCCAAGTCGACGGAACGCGGATTGGAGTAGACCCTACCTGGTTTTAGACAAGCAGATTACAACTGTCAACTCAACTGATTTACGCGAATTCACCAATCTAGTTAGTTTAGGTACACTTTAACACATTTTAAATTCCTAAAAAGTAAACAATATTTAGTTACTCATCAGCTTCTTAAAACAAATATTATTAGTATTTGCAAAGCAGCATCCCCTGATCACATTCTCTCGACTCGATCTAGATCTAGAGTCTAGATCTAGAACTAGAACTTAGAAGTCTACCTCTTTTTAACTTCTTAGTTTTAACTTGTTGCTAGCAAATAATCACCCCAATCACCATATAAATATCAATATTTTATGTACCTTGCAACTGAGATGTCAGTGAATCTTGTTGCTGTTGATATTTCATGGTTCTATTCGTTGCTTCATCCAGCGATTTTTTAATTTGAAAATATGTGTAGACGCCGTACAGACAGGCAAGAAAAGTCAATGCGAAGAAGAGGGTTTGCCCGAATGGACGGCCGCTGCGACGGGAGGAAATCATATTGTTTACGGTCAGTGATAGTGCTGGCTGCTTGCTGAAATCCAAGTCGACGGAACGCGGATTGGAGTACCTGGTTTTAGACATGCAGATTACAAACGAAATTTAGGTTGTCCACTATAATTGCCGTGGATCACATCTCACTCAGGTATTAAGGCTCTCTAGATCAGACATTTGCAGCTGCAAAAATAGATAATCATCTGAAATTGATCTTGAAACTACAATCTCTCCCAGGAATCGGCACACGTAGACGTAATTTGTGTGTACACAATTAATTTTATTCTAGCTCCCTCCGCGGCTGCGAAATGACAGTGTAGGATGAAGGTATGTAAATGTCCCACATAAAAACGAAATGCCAAACATCGTAGAGAACAGTGCATGGCATATACACGACATTGTTAACTTTTCATAAATAATTATAGGGTCATTTGAGCCAGTAAAAAAAAAATGAAAACACATATATAAAAGTATCCAAGTGAAAAAAAGAGGTGTTCAATACGATTTTTTAAGTCTGAATCAGTGAAAAATTAAGCTGTACATATTAATATCCAAATTAACATGAATATAATTCGCACACTGCCTGAACAAGCTTTATCTAAAATTAATAACTCATTCAAGGAAATGTAGTATTTACCAAATGTATTCAAAGTTGGTGAAAAAGTAGGAAACATTTATAATCAATTAGTTTTATTTGGATTTGCATATTATGGAGAAAAAAATTCGATCACTGAAAAAAATATCATGATCACCGTCAGTAACATGATGAAAATTTTTTTAAGACCGCATTAACAAGACAGCCTATTATTCAAGGTTGGTGAGCATAATGGACAATTTTTGTTTAGTTTAGTTAAAAATGTGCTCACATTAATTAATAAGTGGCATTGGCAACATCTATCATAATTATCAATTAAGCTCACATAGATTATTTTGAGAATAATTGTTTTAATCGGGTTCTTTGATGACATGCTGTTATTTTCATATTGCGTTGATGGGTCAAACTCATTTGCATAATTTGCAAACAATCACTTTAACATTGATTCGGAAAAATAATGTGGCCATTTTGTTCAATGATGTGTTAATCGATCTATTCATATACATTCATACTGTATTAAGATAAAATATCAATTTACTTATTAGTATCTTTTATATTTGGTGATGCTATTCATTAAGTTGTAACCTGTGCATTATGTCTAAACTTCTTTCAGTGACCTTAAAAGGTATACGACCAGGTTTGGAAACGCCCCCCCCCCTCAAAAAAATGAAATGGAAGCTCTATACCAATCTTGTGAAAGATTATGTTTTGACTAATACGTGATGATACAAATTTTGCCGGGAAACCACCTACTAATTGATATATTTAGTA